GTTTTACGACTGCTTTTCTAATTAATGCCGCTTGGCAATGTTACAAGCAATTTGTCGACTTAATGACAGAATGCTAAAAACGGAAAAAAGCAAAAATTGAGCATATAAAAGACGCGCGCTGCCATAAATTGACTTGAATGGGAATGCGCGGAACTTTTACGTCTCAGCTAAGGCACGTAACGGCGTTTTGCAGCGCCCCTAAAAGTATGCACCAGTTAATTTGAATTCGATGAGCAGGCATGCATGTGCGTGTGTGTGCGAGCGTCGTGTGTGTGTGTGTGTGTAGAGAAGCTTGACTTAAACTACTTAACTCTGTGACTGCCAGCGGCCAATGCGTTGCCAACTCAGGCGAAAAATCAAAATTTCCGCACATTGCCTATTTTTCAAAGTGTGTGAGTGTGTGAGTGTGTGTGTGTGTGAGTGTGTGTTTGTGTGAGTGTGCCCGCGAGCAATTTTGTTTAGGAGGCTTTTTTGTGTCTGTCGATTTAGTTGAATTGCAGCTGCTGCTGCTGCTGCTACTGCTACTGCTACCTGGCGCTGTCTGTTACCACTGTAGTATGTGTGTGTGCGTGTGCTGCTCGTTTCAATCACATGGTGCTCGCTGCCGCTATTCAATGTTGTCAAAAATTTATAGCTAGCAGCCTCGACAACCAAAAATAAAGTAAAAGACAGCAGCCAGCTAAACGATAAAAGGCAGGCGCTTCCGTACAAATGTAAAATATATATGTATATAAATATAAATATAAATATATATATATATAAATATATATGTAAGTATACATATAGAGAAATAAATAAAATGGCATAAAGAACATGCAAATAAAATTAACAAAACGACAAAAAAATGTAGAAGAGAGAAAAAGCCACTTTAGTTGAGGCACAGCTGGCTTGAAGCGCTTTGTGGAGATTTTAGGCTCTGCAAACTTCTGACATGTGTTTGGTCTTTAGCTGTGTTTGCAATGCTTCCAAAAGTTGATTTCAGCTTTTAAATTTGAGTAATTAATGTTTAAATTATTAAGCAGCTGGGCAAATTTAAGGCACATGTGAAAGCCTGAAAAGTTTTTTTGTAGAGAATATTTGTTTGTACCTTTTGTAGTGACTATGTATATAAATATTAAAATATATATATAAAAATAATATATATTTCATTTAAGTAAGTTACTGCTTATATATAGACTGATGGAGTTGTTGTTGTTTTCTTTGAATCAAGTTTAGTTATTTGTTCATTACGTAAATATGTTGGCTCAACTTCTAGTTTCTTTAGTTTAGTTATTTGTGACAATATTTGAGATCAGATATATATAAGAGCTCGTACGGCTCAAGAGCTAGAGCCTCTAAAAGTTTGTATTTAGTTTTATGTTTGTTATATACTAATATAGGTACGAAAACAGATGAAAAATTATGTAATATATATATATATATGTATAGCATATATATTAACGACCAGAAAGTAAAGTTGTGTGCTCTGCCTATTCGCATTTCTCTGCTTCTAAGATAATTTCAAATGAGTGTAAGTTCTCACTCAAAAAGGGCTCAGCAGCTCTGTTCGAGTTGCTTCTTGAGTGACTTTCAGGTATAAAAGGGCGCTGCAGCGGCTGTGGCGATCAGTCAACTTTATGACCTGGACTGGGTCAGTCGTGTTGTTCAGTGCAAGTGGTGAATAAATTTAAGTTTTTTTTTGTTAAATTGTTTAAGTTTAAATAATTTGTATTTGTTTAATAAATGTTTAAATATATATTTAAGTTTTTCTTGTTGTTAAACATTGTTTATTTGTTTAATTAATATTAAATATTTGTTAAGAGTTAAAAATGTATAATTTGTTGTAGTTTAGTTACTTTTAATTATTATTAATAAGCACTAAATGTTATTATGATAATGAAGTTTCTCATAATGTTCATTAGCGCTAATGATCATTAAGAAAAATGTTCATTTATGTACATGATTAATGATGTACATGATTATTAATGTTAATTATCATTAACGATAATGATCATTAGAAATTTTTTCATGTTAATTTTCGCAATGTTTATTAGGTTAAGAGTCGAATACCCATGCTGTGCTGTTCTCTTTAAAATTGTTTATTACGAAATAAGTAAGAGTAGGCTCTTATTATATATTTCATAAAATATATAATATTTAAGAGCATTTTCTTATTGTGATATAGTTAAGTTATTTGCACAGTGTGCTCAGTATGCTCAGTGTTTGTCATAGGCAGAGAATCTCTTCTCTTAACATGCATGTATAAATATTTATTTGTATATATTTATATTTCAAAAATATTTATATTTAAAATATATTTTAAAATATATATATAAATGTATTATATATATAAATAGAGTTTATATATGTGTATATGTAGTTGAAGCAGAAATTCGCTGAATTGGTTCCTTATTACATTTTTCTAATTGTTCATTTATTTTTCATTTGAACTGTTTTATTTGATATTTAAATGTTAAAAATTCTTCAATTTCTTATTCGTTCAGACAGGAAATTTATTTTTCTGAGCGAATATTATAGCTCACTCAGATAGTTTGTTTTACCCCATATTATAATATTCTAATATTATAATTTAATATATTTTAATATTATTATACGAGCTCAACTCGTCACTAAATTCTGCTATTTCAATGGAAATCTAAATGCTGGAATTAACTTTAATATTTTATACTTCTTTAATGCCTTTTTCCATCTTGATTTTCATGCTTTGTTCAAGTTGATTGATTGATTCCATATGATGCGATTTCAATTCTCGGAATTACTTCAATTACCTTGAGTTTTTTTCATCTTCTTGCAAATGCTTTGCTAAATATTACTTATCAATAATGGCTAAATCACTTGAATTCAGTCATTCAACAATTTCGTCGCATAATGTCGTAAAATCAATTTGGCCAGCAAAGCATTTGCCTCGCTTCGCAAATTTGTTGCAAAATGAATTTAAAGAGAAAAAATGAATTGAATTATGTCATAAAATCGACAGACAGACGTTGACAAAGGCGACGCCACCAACTGTCAGTAAAGTCATTTATACCAACCAGAACGAAAAGAAAAAAATGTAAAAAAAATAAAAATAAAAATTTTATTATTGATTTATTATTTTGGTAATGCAATTTAGCTGCTGCTTCCCAAAACGCAACGAAGCATCACGTTGATTTTTGCAAGCAGCAGCCACAAAAATGGGAAACGTGATTCGAGGGTCAGTGCGAAAAGCCACATTAAAGTCAGTCAATCAATTGTGCGGTTGCGGCCATGGTTCTGGGTATTCCACAAGCTATAAAACTAGTTTTGTGTGCCAAAAGCTGTGAGCTGCAGAGATTAACACAGCCAGAGAAAAGCCAAGGACAAGCTGAAGTATAGATGCCCTTGCGGATGTGGCAAATGCTAGCTGCTAACTGTAAGCTGAGTGCAGGTAGGTGAGGCCTGTGCCCTAATGAGAATAGGTTAATTGGGCATAGCAGACAGGCTGGCTAAGACATCTAGAATTGTGGAAAAGTTTCTAATATTAGAACTGGACTTACGATTGTTGACCTGAAATGTCACGTCAAGTTACGTCTAATATTAGCAGATTGGTTCTTTAGCTACTATATATATATTTATATATGGTATATATATCTAAACAATATAACAAGATGTAATTCTAAGCTATCAACAAAAATAGCTTCACTATATATATTCTCTTTATATATCTGTATATATATGCATTGGTTCCAGCACGTGTCTCATATGCTAGTTATAATACCCTTTAATAGAGCATAATGAAGCAAGCAACTTAAGCTGACAACAACACCAAAAACAACAAAATTAAATTGTGCAGAAAACTAAGTGAAATGCAGCCAAGTTGAACAGCATAAAAAGCAGAAGGACCAAAAAACCATGTTAAATATAAACGAGTCGAAGCCGAAAACAAATGGAAGACTAACATAATCAACAACAACAACATTAAGCAGCAGCTGCAGAGCTGATAAATTTCGTATCACAGGGGGCGAAACGTTGTAAACTGTCATTTTGTGGCCGTGTGTGGTTGGAGACAGGTGGGGCAGACAGAACCAGGTAGTTTGACTAGCATAACAGACATGCCTGAGTAATGATCTAGCTGTGAAAGTTATCTGCATGTGTGCCGTGACTGGTTAAATGTGTGTGTGTGTGTGTGAAACCATTTAATATGCTTAACACATTTTTCCTATTATATGGCAGGTGGCCTCGGTGCACCTGTACAGCCGTTGCGGGTTAAGCTCAAACAAAAGCTACATTTATAATAAAATACTTGTGAACTACTCGCACAAGGTCGTTTATTTTCGTCCATCAGCAGTTGTTGGTGGTGTTGTTGTTGTTGTTGTTGTTGCTTTGCATGCTAATTAAAAATTAAAATATCCACTAAAACAAAAACAAAACCAGAGTGAAAAAAAATGCAGGAAACTTGTGATTCATTAGGCTGGCAGGCGGTGCCAGTGAATAATAAATAAACTCGCTGGCTAATTAAGTGAGGAAGCGCCACTCTCTCGCTCACTCTCACACTATCTAGCTCCATCTCTTTCTGCGTATTATACGCTTGTAGCTTACATGGCACACGTGGCTCGCGCGTCCTGTGAGATTGTTGCCCCTCATTGCGGGCCAGTCGGCTGGAAAATGCAATCGATAATAAGCCTGAGCCGGCACAGCTATGTGAATTAACTATGACTATGCTCAGGCAAGAGACAGAGAGAGAGAGAGAGACTGGGAGGCAGACAGAGAGCAAGCATATTTGCCTGTGCTTTGGCTGTTGTCCTTCACGGTTTGCTAAAAAATTAATGATCATTTATAAAATTACATTAATGCAATGCAAATTTAGTTGAAAGACTGCATTGTGCGCTATAATAAATTTACATTTTATATTAAACTAAAGCTCAAGTTAAAATATTTAATTTATTCTAGAAGTAAAGGCAGTGCTATATATAAAAATATTACCAAATATTCCGTTTTGCTAAACTATTTTAATAACAATAACAAATTAATATATTTCCCAGCTGATATTGTTCATCAAATCTGACATAATTTGTCTGCTTGGAACAGCAAGTGCTTAACATGCCACATAAAGCTAAATAACTAAGGCAAGATAAAATCTTAGTTGAAGTTTGCCATGGGGGCGTGACTAGGCGAGGCAAGGTAAGGCGAGGCGAGGCTGGGCGAGTCTAGGCGAGGCTTCCGCAATTATTTTTCTAGCTGCGTTTCGGGCGCGCGTCGGCGGCTGTGACGCATAAAAATCGCAGCTGTCAGTTCAAAAAGCCAAAAACTTCACTAGCAGCATCAATTTTCCACACGCCAGCGAATTTTTGCCACAAGCTCACACACAGACACAGACACATAAACTCAGAGGAGGAATTGCGAACGCAATTTTCACGTGCAAACTTTGCGCTGTGCAGGAAAAAACAACTAAAACACATTAGAGTGCTGCACTGGGCCATGCTCGACTAAGAGTTAACCTAACGGTAAACTAATGATAATTTAATGATGATTTCCTCAAGCTATAAACTCTTTTCATTTAATCTTTTCTTTCTTATTTAGCATTTCAGTTTTCAAAATATTTGCTCGACAAATTTAGACAAAAAATAATGTAAAATTCCGCTTTAAAAAATTTCGAAATATATTTTAAAATTTTAAATAGAATTTCTTCATATTGAATAAGGTTTAAAAATTATGAGAAAGGCCATTCAGAAAGTTATTAAATTTCACATCAAAATGATTAAAATAAATGATGACTTGAAAGTCTTTCAAGGTCTTAGATGACTTTTGCCAAGGAGGACTTTTGTTGTTGATGTATATCTCTAGCATGTATCTGGTTTAATTTTTATTAACTACTTAAGGAGCTATAACTATAACTATAACTATAGTCCGCTGCTTAAACTTAATACTATAGCTGCAGCGATTCGGCCTGCCTTCCAGATTAGTCAATGCAAAATACTTCAGCCTGTTACATACCATTTCATAAAAACAATAGACACTACTAGAAACTAGCCATTGACAGGGTATAACAACACAGCCAATAAAGCGAGTATAAAATGACTTTTGTGAAAGGTAAAACGAACATGAAATACGCTTTATAATCTATTTGTTATCTAATAAGAATTATATAACATTTTTAAATAATTAAAAAAAAAAGATTTATTTTGACTTTATAGAAATGCTTAAGTTTTTGGCCTGCCTGGAGTCAATACCTTACTCTGTTAGCTGTCAAGATGCACGAGCAGTTTGCTAAGCCTTTCGCATGCTTTCATAGAGAGCAGCGTAAAACAAGTGTAGCGACGTGGCACGGCATAAGTTGCCGCAAATAAAGTAAAGTAAGTTGCACACTTTTATTTTGTGCGTTGCCAAAAGCACAGCGCGTATGCCTGTCAGAAGAAGAAGAAGCAGAGTAGGAAGACGACAGAAACGAGGGGGCAGTTGGAGGTGGCAGCGTGGAGCGTGCCCTCTCGTGCTGCCAGCTAATCTCAACAAACAAAGCGTGAAACTAACAATTCTGCAAATACAGACTAACCGCACTCGCACCCACAGACATTGCCAAAGAGCCAGAATGAGCCCGTGGCAAGAGGGAAAAGGCGAGCACATCGAGGTTTGGCGGAAAGACCAAAAACTTTGTCTGCTGCCAGCACGGGACAGACGCATGAGAAACAATGGCGCCGAGCGAGAGAGCAAAGCGAGAATGAAACTTTATTTTCAAGTCAGACATCGAATTTATTTTCATGTCATCAGCGCGTTAAGCAGAAAAAAATTTACTCACACAGACAAATACACATCTATATGTACATATATATATTTATAGCAGCTCTTAAATTGCTGGAAGTTGCTAATTTGCTTTCGGTTCGCACTTGCTTTGCGCCAATTGGCTGCAACTAGGCGTATTAGTAATGTGCGTTTATTTTTGGCAATATTAAGCATACGCAGCGTTGAACTCAAATAGAGACAGCAGCAACAGCAGCAGCCGTAGCAGCAGGGAGGGTGAGAAATAGCTAGCAAAGCGCTGTAACCGGAAAGCAACAAGCGGCTCAGGATACGCGACAGGCGCCCAACGCCAACCCAACACGCTAAGCTCTAATTTTCTCACGTACTTGTAAATTTTGCGGAAAACCGCAACAAATTCACTTATAAAAGTAATCTAGAAAACGCGTACAAAACAGGAAGCACGCAAAAGGCCAGAAAAAGGCAGAAGAAGAAGAGCAAGCAGCAGAGGAAAAATAAAAAAAAACTCTCAAAAGAAATGGCTGCAAAAACTCGGTGTGTAAAGAATTGCGTTCGCGACACGGCGACAACTTTGCGTTTTATGTCGCCCCATAAAAGGAACGGGCAAGTGGCCAGAAGGCGCCAGGGCTGGGCCCGAGCCAAAGACTTAAAGCAGCCGACACTTTATCGCAGATTTAAAATTAAATGAATGTAAGCACATTAAATGGTCGACTCTGTTGCTTTAAGTGCACAGAGAGTTTAGCTGAAGCTCTAGCGGGGCGCTGTAGCAGGGAGCTGCGGGGCAAAAAGTTGTTCAACTCAAAGTTAGTTTATGCCAACAACAAAGAGTTAATTAATCAGCAATTTGTAAGACGTAGTTAATATAATCGCATGCTCTAGGGCTTTACATCATGCTTAAAGTTTTGCTTTGAATTGCTTTTAATTTCATTTAAGGGCAAAATATGTGCTACAAAAAAGAAAAAACAAAAGAAACTTTTAATTAAAGAAAAATGAATGGCTACTCCCGTCTGTGGCCAGACTCCCCAACTATGCACGCAGCTAATCGTAGCTCATTTCTCTTGCTCGTTTGCTGCGCCCTTAAGTCCCAATCAAAACACATCAGCATAATTCCGCATCATTATTCCCAAGTGAAGCTAAACATCCCACACTCTGAGGCCAATTAGGCGCAAAACTTGTCACTTCCAAGAAAATCAGCTCTTAAACAGTTACCCACTGCAGGTTGTAGAGGCAGGTGGGGCTGGGCGCACTTGCGAATACCCTATATGAAAGCAAAGCAAATGGAAATGTTTCCAATCTAAATGTTTTCATTTCCCATTTCCATTCCCAAATATATTAATTGGAAGTAACTACAGAGTTGGGCAGGCAAATGGTAAAGCTCTCTCAAAGGAAATATCTAATATATAGGCATGTGGGGGTGGGTTCACTAAATAACTTTTGCTCGTAAGGTCAGAAACGCTCCCAGGTAGGAAGCAAAGGGATGCCAATTCCTAGAAATCCCAAAGAATATAGATCTAGAATAAGAATCTATAACAGCCTTAAGCGTGCAGAGCAACAAGGTCAATTCAATTTGTGTTTTCCTTTGTTCAAGCAAAAAGTTTTTAACGCGAGCCAAAGCCAGGCAGAAAGCGAAGTTCAAGCATAGTTTAAATGATCCAAAATTTGTTGGACAACACAAAAGTTGCTGTTGTGGCAAATGAGCCAAATTGCGGCAGCTGGAGGCACAGTACGAAAACAGGACTCAGCTCAATGGCCCGGCCCTGTAAGCTATGTGTCAGATTTGTAAGGACCTTCATCATTTTACATTGAGCCATGTTTATGATTGTTATTAGCAGGCGGCAAAGTTTCGGCGACGCTTTTAATAAACTTTCGTCCGGCAATGAGTTTATGCAAATTGTACACAAATACTCAAGTATTGACAGAGGGGAGAGAGAGCGGCGAGAGCTCGAGGCTCGCCGCGCACAGCGATAACAACAAATTTCAATTATGCCATCAAATCTATTTAGGTGTATAAATATTTGGAAAATTTGCGCACGCCACAAAAGTTGGTCGTCGCCAGCGTCGGCGCTGGGCGTGTAATTTACAGATTTTCTCGTTAAGATTGCGCTCAAAAAGTTTGCGGCGCCATTGTAGTTCGAGTTCGACGCATAATTGGCAGCGCAACATGAAAAGTCAATAAACGAATCAAAACAAGCCTGCCTCTTGGCCTCGCTCCACACATAATTTGCAGGTTCCAAACTTCAAGCTCATAAAATTGTTAGGCATTGTAAAGCGTAATTAGAATTGCGGCTCTCCACATTTCACTAAATTTGATTTCAATTACAAAAAAAAACAACAAATCTAAATGGCCCACAGTCAGGACTTGCGGCGGCGGCCTTAACCGGGACACCCTACTCTCCTCCATTCACGCTTCATTAACCAAATGAAGCGTGTTTCGTGTTTTTTTGTTGTTGTTGTTTGCTTGGCCGGCACAAAAGTTGCCGCCAACACTTGACGCAGCTTATGTCCTAGAGCCACGACTTGAACGTTATGCGAAAGTTTATTTAATGTTGCCTACTTCGAGGCGCACGCTAAAGCACTGCAAATAATCAAGTATACGCCTAGTATGCATTAAGTGCTCTTTCGAGCTCCACTCTCCCATTGCTAGCTCAATTTACTTAATTAATAAAAATGTCCAAATTAATGAGTGCACGCATACAAACAGGAATTCTACGTCAAGTTTGCTTAGTTGCCTGACTTGATTTGGCACTGAAGTGAGAAACATATGTAGCTGGAAATTGTATAGAGCTGATTGAGTCTGTGAACGAGAAAGCTGATATTGTGGCAGCTTTTACGTGGTGGAAGCTTATATATATATATGATACATATATATGCTGATATTGTGATTTGTTCTGTATGAGCATGTCGAATTGTGAGCGTGTGTGTGTCTGTAGACCTATGTGTATGCTCTTTTTGGACCAAACTGTGGGAGGCAGCTTTGCTCTTTTGATGACTTTCTCTACTGCAGTGGAATGACATCAAATGTATTTTACAGCATTGCCGTTCTATGAGATTCTCATGAATAGATATGAATGCATGAATGTATGAATGTATGAATGTATGAATGTATGAATACATGAATGTATGAATGTATGAATGTATGAATGTATGAATGTATGAATGTATGAATGTATGAATGTATGAATGTATGAATGTATGAATGTATGAATGTATGAATGTATGAATTGAATGTATGAATGTATGAATGTATGAATGTATGAATGTATGAATGTATGAATGTATGAATGTATGAATGTATGAATGTATGAATGTATGAATGTATGAATGTATGAATGTATGAATGTATGAATGTATGAATGTATGAATGTATGAATGTATGAATGTATGAATGTATGAATGTATGAATGTATGAATGTATGAATGTATGAATGTATGAATGTATGAATGTATGAATGTATGAATGTATGAATGTATGAATGTATGAATATATGAATGTATGAATGTATGAATGTATGAATGTATGAATGTATGAATGTATGAATGTATGAATGTATGAATGTATGAATGTATGAATGTATGAATGTATGAATGTATGAATGTATGAATGTATGAATGTATGAATGTATGAATGTATGAATGTATGAATGTATGAATGTATGAATGTCATACACGCTATGTATGGTATGTCTGGTATGTATGTATGATAGTATGTACATCTCCTATATACATCATATGAAGTTATGTATTTACATAAATGTATGTTCAAATATGTTTTTGTAAACACGTCAAGGTACGAAGATACTTCATATATACTAATAAATAATCTATATGAGTCGTGCTGGAAGTTTGATTTCATTTCGCAAAACCAATCGCGATATAGTCTACTGCTCATATTGAGTTGGGCGCATCAAAAACACGTTTGCACATGTGCCACACATGGATGTGAAGTGCCTTGGCCATTTACTTTATTGATTACAGATTTTTCTTGCCATTGATTGAGGCCCGCTTGTGAGCTTGGGGAAACAACTTTTATGTGGCCAAAACAAAAATATAAAGAGAAGCAGAAGAAAGAGATGAGGAAACAATCAGCAGGCCATAGTCGGAGCCATAGCAACTGCCACAAAAGTGGGGTTGTCTACGCTGGGATATGGAGCAGAAGTTGCCTTAAGGCCAAGTTCTGTTGATTAGAGTAACTGTTGGGGCTTTTGTTATTGTTTTCGAGTGCACTTCATATTAAATAGCAACAAAATGGAATAAATTGATATTCAATTTACGCATATGCGGTATTGATGTGAAGCAGCAAAATAAATAAGTGCGAGCAAACTGACATAATTTATGTAGTTTATCACTTTCATATACATTTTGCACTCCTTCTTGTTTGGTTTGGAAATGTCCGTTGTGAAACCGGTTGAAATCCGATGCCGGCGCATTTGTGTCAATTTAAATTTATGTAAACATAAAATGGCCAACCGAATCTCCTGTGAGATGCGGCTGTGTATCACATATTTCATAAATGTGCCCATATTTATATACATATATATTTTTTTCCTCTCTCTCTGTCTGTTTTTTTTTATGATTTAATGCGCGCGGCACGCCATGACGTTCACTTAGGCATGGACACAATAAAAATGTAGCCACAGCAGCAACAACACGCGCCAGGACATGCCTCCTGCGCACTTTTGACATTTCATTATCCTGTTAAGTATTCAAAAGTCAACCAAGCAGCCAGGCCCAGCGCACAGACGCACAAATTGTGGGCGCTCCCTGCGTGTCCATTTCCTCTCTCTCTCTCTCGCTCGCACTCTGTGTCTGGACACGCCCCCACTGTTGTCATCCAGCTGCGTAGCCAGCTTATCATTTATGCCAAGCGCGTACTTTTTGGCTTTTACGCCAACTCGCCCCGCTGCTGCCTCCCCCTTCTCCTTCTGATTCTGCCTCGTCCTGCCCATTGTTGTATCGCCCGTTTGTTTTGTCTGCCCGTAATGTCATGCGGAATTGCCTTTGTGTCCTTGGCGTTTATGACATTATATTTGTGTTTCTGTTCATGTGTGTCTGTGTGTGTGTATATATAAATTACATTACACAACAAGCAATATAACAAACGATAACAAACACCTTGCCAAGCGCTGGCAAAACAAAACAAAACAGAAAAAAAAAAACAATTTAATAAAAATGTTTTTTTTTTTGCTCTGTACTTTATTTTTGGCTCTTCGATTTGGCTTTATGTTATGTAATTTGCTTATGACACTGCTAATGACAGTCATTGCTTTCTGCTCAAGGATCTTTCTTTCTTTTGCTCGGTGCTGTCAGTTGGTTTGGCATTGCATTTCGTGCTGCATTTAGCTGACAAAAATGTCGAAACATTTCCAATGCCAATTCCAATTTTCAGTATTTTTCATTTTCCAATGGCATTTTCCGTTTTCCGATTGAGTTTAGGGCACGTGCTCCTGTGTCATTGGCAAATGCTCTGTGCATTTGCCATCGATTGATTAAAATGCGAACTGCACAATGCACAAGTGTTGGCAATAAGGACATAAGCCAAGAGCTCGACCGGGTTACACCATAAATAAAGGTATCCCAGGTCAATAGTTAAGCGAGCACTTGACTTCAGCTTGTAATTGTCGTCCCCTTCATGTCAGCTTCTAATTGTGCTCGGCTTAGGTTCTCAATCTGTAAAATTATCAAATCGAGTGTCAGTCAATGGGACTTTCCATTGAAATGTTCTACTCAATAAATGAGAAAATTATGGGTTGCACTCTTCGGGATTATGGAATATAATTGTTAGCAATCTGTTGCATACGTGATAAGGAAAGTGACTAAGTGGCTACTATAATCTGGGTAAAGTTCAAAATTCTATATTCCCTTCAATCGAATCAATTTAAAAATAAAAAAAAATTATTTTATTTGTCTGAGTATGGAAAAAATGATGCATATTATACAGTTCTCTAGGTAGGGTATCTACAAATTTTATTATTATTTCATTTATTATTAATTTGTTACTTTACTTAGATATCAAGGAAACATTCAGATTCTGCTTTTATCTGACACCGTCTGTGCCTTCAAATCGTGTTTATGATCCAACAAAATGTATGCTCAGTGCTCGAGTTACTCAAGTTGCCTGGTTACTTGTTTCGTTAGCTGCTGTAATGGTGCGATTTAAACGAGTTATCTGGTGAGGACGTTTTAAATCGATTCGATTTAGATGGAATGCGCTGCTTATTGATTTAAGCGCTATCTAAAGTGTGAGAATCTGTAACTCTTTATCTGTTTAAGTATCTTAAAAGCAATCACTGCCAACGAGCTGACTCGCATACATATAACTATTTTATGACGTTTTTTTACCTTTTACAGACAACACCTTAGCTGGCAGGCAAGTAGTCACCTAGCCTTGGAGAGAGCAGCCAATGCAAGCAGCACAGAAGCAACTAGCAACGACACGTGAGTATAAAGCCAGGCAAAATAGAATTCTCTTTATATATATATATAAGTCTGTGTCTGTGTGTATCGGCACTATATATCTTGGACATGTGTTGACCATCAACTTATGCAATCAACCATTTGGCTTTGACCAGGCAAACGGACTGCCATTGGGTGCTATGTAAACTAGACACGAGGACGAGTTTTAGCCGGGCTAGGGAAAGTAGGTGTAGGTGTAGCTAAAGGTGTGTGTGTAGGTAGCTAGCGACCACGACGACAAATGTTTATTTAAGCATAAAGCCACGTACGCTGCACTCACACACACATGAATAGATATGCCTGTGTGTGTGTTTATGTACTTAGGCACAGCTGTACTTGGGGACTACGTCTGGTAATTACATACAGCATGTGAGCTCCACACATTCGTTCTGATACTCACTCAATAAGTGAAAATGGGGTATATTGGTTTTGTGCTTTTGTGCTTTCACTGACGACTTGAAATTTAAAAATCTCGAAAATTATTTATATGTATGCCAGCTGCTCTTAGTTGCCTGGTATGTTGAAAAGAATTATAACTTCAGCTCTGCTGATCATCTCTATCAGGAAAACCCTTAATTCCTTTACAGTTTTGGCGCAAGAAAGTCAAGTTTTGTAGATATCCACATACTAGATAGGGCTTGGTTAACCTTAAAATACAAAATTTTAATACAATTTTAGAACTAAGTTCAACAAGGTTTTCCATTTAATACACACTAAAGCTCTCTACAGATAAGCCTAAAAATGATATTGACACGCCCTTTTGGAGCTATGGCAAAGCGGAAATGATAGATATGAGTAGATTTATCTGCTTTAGACACAATCTGTATCTCTGATAGATATGAGTAGATTTATCTGCTTTTAGACACAATCTCTGATAGATATGAGATTCATCTGCTTTGAGTTATCTCACAAACTGTATCTGCTTCAGTATCTTAATCTGCATCAGTTTCTCTTTGTACACATGTACCGATAGCTATAACTATTTATATTTGCTTCTAAATCTGAATATATAATAAGATTTAACCACAGCCTGAGCGAGTATCTCACAGCTAGTTCCGGCCGACAGCAAAGTTCTTACATGCTTTTTTTTTTTGTGGCCCAATCTGCTGTGGGGCTTTTGGGCTGCTGCATAAATATTTGTTTTAACCTTTTTTGCTTTTGTGTGGGCAATGGCTTTGTATTTGCTTTTGGTTTTATGGCAGCGGCTGTGTCACTATTTCATTTCGATTTAAACAAACTTTGCGAACGCTCTTTGCTGATTTGTGTAGCCTTAATTTATTTATTTGCGATCCTGCTGATATTTTGTAATTGAGTTTTTCTATCTTTGTTGCGTCCTCTTTGTGAAACTAAAATGCTGATGAGGGTTTGCTGTTAGAGTGTGGCACACACACTGAGATGTCTGGAACGTGCCACTACGGCAACAAATGTGACTCAGTTGCCCCGCTTAAGGATATTTATGTGACCGTGTGTGTTTGTGTGTGTGCGACAGCATTTGGAGCTAAAAGGCTGCCCCAGCCATTCGGTAATACAATAAAGTTTGAATAAAAGTATTTCCCAGGGGGCAATTCGATGTCGTTGCCATGTTGCAAGCCGTGTCGTCTTCTGTTTAGACTTTTTGTCTTAATTTATCGTTATGAATGAATCACTTGCTGCCTGAAGGACCCACGCTCGCTCAGTCTCTCAGTCTCTGAGTCTCCCTGCCTGTCTGGCTGTGTGGCAGCACGTAGCCAGGATGTGCTCGTACTTTTGACTTAATTTGATTTGCTCAAATGAATTTCAATTAACCAGAAATGAAATTTATACGCTCTAAACTTCCAACCGTTCAACACGAATGAAGACAAATGCTTTGTTTGCTTTACTTAAATACTTAAGCGCTGGAAATTGTCTACTTAGCAGAAGTGCCTGAATCACATTTCTATTCAAACTCATTGTCGCTATTGATTTCATGTCATATTTTTTTCCATCGAGCCAGCGTTGATTGTTTGACTGCTCATCATTCATAAGCGTGCTGAGATTGTGAGTAAGTGTGTGTGTGTGTGTGTGTGTGTGTGTGTGTGTGAGTATGTTATAATGCAACGTAGGCTCTTATTATGCCGAACACACGCTGTCAACAATGACAACGGGTCCGTGAGCTTGATAACAACTGGATAGAATGCTGGCGACGACAATGCTGACACATCTCGCAAGATTGTCATTCCATCAATTATTCAACAACACGCAAATCAACAACAAAATGCTCGAAACGACAAACCAAGAGTCATTCCCACTGCAAATAGCTGGCATAGCAGACAGCGTCAGCAGTGCAACTTCCATAGAGAGAGAGAGATAGGGAGGGGGAGTGAGGGGACGGCATAGAGGATAGGCAGCAGAAAAAAGTCCAAATATTAAGTGATACAATTTGTATTTGGAACGTTTGCCGCAGGCAACCGATGAATAACAGACCCATACACACACACACACAATATCCATCGACATGAATATCTGAGTGTTTTTATTTATGACTGTGCGTCAATATTCCGGGTTAGTTGAACTGGCAATTGGGCTGCTGGGTGGGTGCGTGGCGGGCCCAACTACAGCACAAATCAATCAATTCAGCGCCTCAGCCTCAGCCTCAGTCTCGTCAAAGCGTAAAAACTAAGAGCCGATCGGCTTTAGCAAGTGCTGAGTAACAAGCGTTACCGGGCATCAAGTGGACTAGAGCGCTATAAATCGATGCTTGACACGGTTAAGTGGATGTGCTTAACAATGGCTTAGGCCAAAAAAAGATGAGCTTAGACGTGCCAGCTGCCATTGACTGATAGGACGTGGTCGTGCATGGCTGTAGTTTATCAGTGCTTGACTACAGCTTATTACCAAATAGGATTTCGGAATTCAGTTGTTTGCTCATATAAATACTTTTATCGATAGTAATGGCATTGTGACCTATCGATAATATGTGTTGTGTTGTGTGTGAGAAATAAGCTAGATGTGGAGAGCTTGAGAATTTTGCAAGGGAGACCTTCGGGTCATATCTTAAGTATGCTGGGTGAAGCAATAAAGATATCGATATTAACTTATCGATTTTAGCTTAGTAGCAATAATTTGTTGATTAAACACGGTTGATGTATTACGAGCATGAGTAAGCACTAGAAACAGCTGTTCATTATCTACTAAACACTTTTTGCTTAGGAATCTGCGATTTTAGACACTATCGATATGTATGCCAATACTGTTATTAGGAATTACAATTGGTTTTAACAGCTACCCAACTCTTAACTAAACAAGTTTGATAAAGAATTTCCTATTAGCATGTGAATTTCCAATAGTTGACATAGGCTTCATTTATAATAATATAAATTATCGATATATGGCAAGCATTGCCGAGTTCTGCAAATAGTCTTTAGCTTCCATCTTTAGCTGTTTTGCTAGAAAATTTTGACCAAGTTTTATAATAGTTGCCTCATTCGAATAAAAATAGATTTCTGTAATCGATCGATATGAGTCATACTAACGATAGCAACTATCGATCTACAAGCTACTATCGATATAAACTCTACAAACAGGTTTTCACCTACTAAAAGCCGCGTTTCCAAAATAGTCCCAAATAAATCAGTTGCATAATAGGTTTCCCATTAACCTCTAAAGTTCTGGCCTATTTAAAATGCCATCAGTCTTTTGGTAAACTGAAATCTTAATGGGAATTATTAGTAGCTAATGCGTGCCATTAGGGCGCCGCTCAACAAAGATTAATTGTTTGTTTATACAAAATGTTGTATATCATTAATTTTATGCCAACAAAACGAAAAGAGAAAAAACATATTCAGCCGGGCCAAGCTCTTTAAACAGACAGCCTGTCAGGGATCTTTGCTGTCGTCGACATTAATCACTTTATGCAACTTTAAAAGCCATCTTTATTTATTTTTTTTTAACTTTATTAAGTCATAATCATGCATGATGCGACTAGGGTTGGGCTTTGTCTTAGTTTAGTCCGGGTTATTCATTAATTTCCATGAAGCTGTGGCTGTGGCGTTGGCTGTGGCTGTGGCTGTGGCTGTAGTGCAGCTTCCTCAATTATTATTCCTTGCACATCCTTTTTGAGTCGACAGTTTCGTTTTTCGTTTGAAGGCATTCAGCTTTCATTTCCGAAATGACATACAAAATTTTTCATTTTTGCTGTGCTCCAGGGCCTCAGGATTTTCAGCACTGTTTTTGATGAATTTGCCCTCTTCGTCATAATTATAAGCACACAACAGACAGGCAACAGTTTGGGTGCTTAGCATACGCTGTTGCCCAAGTGGCAAGTGAGGCATATAGGCCTTGGCTCGAAAACTTTTCATGACGCAGCAATTGAGCAGCTTTACTAAGTCTGTTCTCTACTTGATGCTGATTTTTTCAAGGTATTTAGTAGTTGAAAGTTGCCTTTTATATTGCAGCTATTTGTTGGCTTTTGCCTATGAAATATCTGAATTTTACAGCGTATCTATTAGCTGCTTCTTGTTAGTTTTCCTTTATGGAAATGACAGAAATTTCTGAAGTGCAAGAGTTTTGCAAGTCCATTTATATTATAATCAATTTTCTATTTCTATATCTGTTTTATATCTAAATTTATATTTGCTTTTATAGATGGGCGTGAAGCCTAGAGCGCATCTGTTAATTTAATAATTTGAATAGAAAGACAAATTCAAGCTGTCGTTTAAATTTCTATATAACTATCCTAGTTAGTTCTGCTTTTATAGAGTATTTAGAAGTCTGAGCATGAAAAAGGCGATGCAACCTCAATGTCCTCCGGCTATTTCAATTCATATTATAATTTACTTATAAGTTTCATAGACTCTCTTATGCCTTCTTTTTACAGCGCATCTGTCAGCTGGTAGCTGCTGCTGCTACCAGCTCTTGTTAGCTTTTCCATAGAGGCTTACATAAGTGAAAGAGTCATTAAAGTAATTCCATTTCTATTACATTCAACTTTCCATTTCTATATAGCATACCTTGACTTTACAGCGTATCTCTCAGCTGGTAGCCGCAGCTGCTGCTGCTGCTTGTTATCCTCCCATTCACTTTTCCATATTTACTCTCTATCCCCTGCATATGACATAATATGTTGCCCCACATCTGCTTGCATAAAAGTTGCTCCTCTTTGTGCGTAGCTGCAATTAAAAGTGTCAATGACAATGTTGTCTTTGTTGTTGGCTCTGTTGTTAATGCTGTTGTTGTTGCTGCTGTTGTCTTTTACTTGGTGTTCGGCTCGTTAGCTCTTTATTATTGTTGGCATGGTGCGTTCGCACGTTATACGGCCACATATATGTCGTCCTGCCCCATCGCTCATTGTAATTACGATAATTGCGACATGGACTGCAAATGCAGTTTCTTAATGAATCGAGAATTCAATGCATTCAGCTAGGTCCAGCTACCCAGCGAGTCCGGCTCCCTGCTCTAGCTCCCTTGGCCCACCCTTCAGCTCAGCCTGTTTATCCACTTAGCGACATGCGATTTTGTGACGTTAATTGAAAACTGGCGCATTAAAGGCAAAGTTACCTTTATGCCACGAGCTGCTCTCCGTTGCCACGCCTACTCCTCTGCTTTCATAATATTTGCTTTTTAATTTTAATTTTAATTTTTGTTTTTTGTTTTTTGTTTTTTTTTTTTTCGCTCTTTCCCCTGTATATTTTCCCCCATATTGTAATGCCGTTGCGCTCTCGGTGCATATATTTATTTATTAAAGTTTAATTAAATACCTTTTAAGATTCTTGCGCATGACTGCAAAATAATTTTAATGAGTTTTTTCTCGCTTTTGTATGTATATATATGTGAGTGTGTGCACACTTAACAATGTATTTGTGCATTGTAATTTTAAAAAGTCATTATATAAATCATACTTAAGCGATATATATATCCCTTAACACGAGCTGCTGCTTACAGCATTTGAGCTGACAAAATTCTATATAAATAGAGCTTAACACTGCTCACTTTGTTTTGCTCTTTTTATATTTCTTGCTTAATTTAAGGTTTTCTTTTTAACAAGTCCGCCTTTGCCACCTTTTGTTTTTATAGCTCCGGACAAAGGGCCAGATAGCACAATAATAATAAATAATAAAAATTGTTTCGGTTGCAGGCGTGCGAAGCACAGGAGAAAGAGAGCGAACTCAAATGGAAATGCAAAATACAAACCTTAGACCTTGTTCCATAGACGTAACCATTAGCCGTAACCAAAAAAGAAAAACGAACCAAGCCAGACATTGAATTGACCTTAATAAAGTCGACGACTGCGGCTGTGGCTACTGCTGCTGTTGTCTGGTCTCGACCTTTTTATACCCATTGTGGAACCCATTGAAAATGTATAAGCAGGATAGTTTGTTTTTGTGCAAGTGTATGTAACAGACGAAAGCAGGCGTGGCTGAAGTCATTCAGCATATGTACTCCCAAACAGGACGAGAGTTGAGTCGATCTAGCTAGACCAATTTGTCTGCACGATCTATGATCTTGAAAGAATATAAGCTAAGACTTGGTTAAAGACATAAGTCCTCCTATAATTCAGAAAACCAAATTTGGTTATCGATAACATTGATTATTCACATGAAAGCGATAATAATCGATGTCAATCTAGAGCTACTTGGGTTTAGTTGTGAGTTAGAGTCACAATATATACATTATAGATTCTACAACTAGATCACATTTGCTTATTTGTTTATCGATAACATGTACTCCCATAAAATCGATAAGCAGCGATATAAAACTTGAGCAATTTAGGCATAATTCGTACCTACTATACATAGCTTCTGCTACAGTAAACACAAATACAGCGAATTAAATTTTGTTGAACACATCTGCAAGTGATGCTGTACAGGGTATCTCTAAGCTCTGAACAGTCTTACTTGTTTTTCTTTAACATTTTTTTTAAACAACCGCCCGCTAACCACATCCTCCACGCTATATATCTTCTCTTTGCAGAAAATGCTGATACTGCTGGCATTGCTGAGTATATTTGGTAATAGTCTCATTGCTGGAGTCGAAGCGAATCTGAGCTTAGGTTTTAAGGTCATCAGAGTGAGTAGTCCAAGTATATATATATGAATTCCATTGCATACAAAACATCTCTTTCCCTCTCCCTCTCACTCTTTGTGTTTCTCTCTGATTTAGCTGCCAAGGCATATAAATCCCGGTAAGTTCATTTATTTAGTTATTTTATACGTTTTCGACTGCCGTTAAGCTAAGCAAATTGCAATCAAATGAATTTCAAATGAAAATTGCAAAATTACATTCACTTTGCGCTTCATTAATCAAAGGCACTTCAAATCAACCCAAAAATAATTTCTCAAAAAAAAAAAAAACGAAACGAAACGAAACTCGTAAAGCAAAGTACAGAAAACAGTTGGACAGACAATTTCCCATTTAGGCAGCCATCAATTTTAAATATTTCTCGTGTTGTTAGCCAAATAAATATTCATTTTTAAGGGCGCACGAAATGGCAAAATCAAAAGAGAAAGAAAGAAAACACCAAGAAACCAAATAGTAGAAAAAAGTAAACGAGGATAAGATATTTCCCAGGAAAAGCAAATGAGAGGCAAAGGTTTGCCCACTTATTTAATAAAGAATTCTGCGAAGCAGCCAAAGTTTAGCAAAAAATCAAAAAAATAAAAGCGACTAGAGTGTTCCAAAGGGCATTGATTACATTTTTATGTACCAAACTGTGTGCACAAGTCGACGGATTTTCCATCTAATATAAGTAAAAGCACATAATCTAAGAGAGTTTGTGTAGAGGCAGAATAACTTATTTATTTTTTATACATTAATATTTATCATGAATATATTTTATGGCAGGGATAAAAACGAAAATCATATAAATATTAATAGAAGTATATAATTTTTATATAAAAAAAAAATAAAACTCAATTGTTGAAGTTTTCTTTTTAATATTCCATTGACAACAATTTCTAAAATAACATTAAGAATTTGGCTGTCTCAGGTCTTTAAAAATATGCCTCCATCTCAACTCAACTTCAAAACAGTTTTAAAGATTCGTCTGCTTTCCCGCCGAAACATTGTTGGCCTAATCTGATTAAAAATTGTCTGCCTTTAGCTGGCAACTTGGGAGTAAAGTGATTTTAATCGATTTATTTTATTATTTGTCGAATTGGCCCCCATCTGCAGCACCCACTTCCCTGCCCTGGCTGGTTTTCATCACAACATATAAACGTAATTCATTCAACATGTTTGCCTGCTTCTTCACATGTTGTCGTGCAAAGCTTTTCAAAATTAAACAGCAGCACGAACTGTGCCAAAAACTTTTCAATACGGCTGCTACAACAAATACCAACCAATTTCAGCTTCGGGCCATATCGCTGCATATGTTTTATGGGTGTGTGAGCATCAGCTTCCAGTGCTCCCCTCTTCTGCTGCTGCTGTTGCTGCTGCAGTTAAAAGCCAAAAGTTTTGAGTCAAATGCCAATACAGTTTGTGCGTCCATGAGCTCTCGACGCCTGTTGTGGGTTTCGTAGCTGTTGCTGGTGCCAAAGCGCACCCCACATAGCGCCCAGTGTGTGTGAGTGTGTGCGTGTGAATGTGCCATGGGCGCATATCAATGCTCCACACGTTTTGTTGCCAGCAGCGCTCCCCGCTGCGCTGATGCATTGTCCAGGCAAAGCGGAACAAGTTTATTTAAACTGTAAAACTTGTTCTTTTTTCAGTTAAAGGCGCAGCGCGGGGCGTCAGGGGGCGTGTAACTTCTGAAAAAGTTATCGAAACACGAAAAATGTGGAGCGTGTAGCCCATGTATGTATGTGTCTATGTGTGTGTCCATGAAAGCCCTGACAAAATAAACTCACAAAAAATAAATTTACCAAAACGTGAGCAATTCTTATTTAAACAACATGCGAAAAGATTTACTGCAAAAGATTTGCACATTCTCAACACATGACATTAATTATGTCTCAAAAAGAGAGAGAGAAAAGAGTCTAACTTGAAAACAAAGTTGAAGTTAGATATATTTGAGATATACTTCAGCTAAGTCAAGGCCTGCTTATAGCACTTATTCCAGTACTTCCTTTCTAATTCCTGCTTTTTGCTTTGAAACTTTGCTTGCCATATAGAAATTGCCTTTTGTGGGGCTGCTAATATCAAGTGCCAAGCAAACAAGCATTGAATACACAATTTGCAATAAAATTGCGCATACGCAGCGTTGTCCTAGCAGCATTTTTCGAGCTTAGACTTTATTGAACGATCTTTCTGTCTCTAAATGTGCGTGTGTGTGTGTGTGTGCTGGACAGTGGACACTCAAAAGTTGTCGCACACACGCTCGAGTGTTGTAAATCTTTGCACAAAATGAAACTTTATTTGGTCATGGTCGTCAACGACTTAAGTAAATCCGAAAAAAAAGTCTAAGTAAAACAAACACTACGGCCCTCTGGCATAAAACAAATAAACTGTGCAAACGTGACCCCAAACCAGGCACCAAGACAAGCGATGATGACCCCAAACAAAAAGCAGTCGTCGGACACTGGACGCAAAAAACTATGCTACACTTTTTTCGGGGCACAGACAAAGGGGTAGGATGACAAGAACTTGTCGCAAGGTAAACAATAGCGAAGAACGAGTACATTACAGAGCAACAACAAGCAAGTATAATGCATAACATGAAGTTATAGCCGGGATAAGGCGGCCCACAAAAAAAAGACGAAGAAGAGGACGGCTGAACGAACGAAAGGCGACACACATAACTGCTTAAGTACACTCCAGCAAAGCGTAGACAGTCTTAAATGTTGACAGCTAACGCAGATAAAAGTGCTCGCATTGCAATTTCTCTGTATACTTCCGGCTTAAAGGCGGGCATACCCTGTAAAAGTATATCCAAAGAGGAATGTATGGCTATGAAACTTATAGGAGTTTGGCTTTGGACTGAAGTTGCATACTTTTAGGGTAACTATCCGTTGTACAGGCTCAGCTGCTTGATGCACTTGTGCTGTTCAGCTCGATTCGTTAAGGGTAAACAGCGATTGCTTGTAAAGAGCAATGACACACTCACACACACACAGACGTTGAACTTTACTACCTGTTATGTAAAGCAGTGTGTGTGTGGGTGTCTGTGCAGACAGCCTTTGCTTGCCTCTGTGTATGTTTGTGTGTATGCCAAAGTACATCAAGAAGATTGCACTTTCGAAAATGACACAGTTCCAGCCACAAAGTAAAAAGGTGTAAGAATCTCACCTGCCGCCAGGCAACACTACTTCAGGCCGTTGTAGTTGCAGCTCAAGTTACCAGCAGCGCATAGACATCTAATTGCTAATGACATAAATATGCGACCACGTGCGTGTATTATATTACAAGCAAGCGTTCAAAGCCAATTTGCGCATTAACCATGGCAGCAAGCGAATGAATGATGATGCTGCTGCCGTGGCTGCCTGGCTAACAGAGTCACGTCGTCGACGAAAATCAATTCGCGAATATGCCCAAGAAAAAGTGGAAGCACGTAGATATAAAGTACCTATAGGCGTATCTCTCTCACTCCCTCTATCTGCCCCTCTCTCTCGCTCTGTGTATCTGTGTAAATTCCTGTGTAACTGTGAAATTGCAAATATCCATTGGGCCAGCCGCAAAATCCGAATAATTGTGATTGGCGGCTAGACATATTTGTGGCCTGTTGACGGTGGCAGCTCCAAATGCAAAAACCAAAAGCAAAAGCAAACTTTTGTGGCCTAATGGTTGCCCGTAAACCAAAACATTTGTCAGTATCAATTTTGATGAGGCCCAAACGCACATAAAGTCTATTGTTTGCTTCGCAAATATAGCACCCACACACGCGCATGTGTGTGTGTGTGTGTGTAGAATTTATAACAGTTACTGTGGCTTCCTTTGATATTAATTGGTTTTCTTCTCGTTTTTTCTCCCGTTTGACATGTGATGAAACGACTCTGGGGAGAAAGCACAGCCAAGCGAATTGGTAATAAACAAGACTTGGCAGCGTAATTATGGCAATAACAGCATTCAATTCCAAAATTACTTTTACGAATGTCAGCAGATGAGAAAAAAAACAAGCAGAGAATAATGCAGAAAACAAGCTGTTTTGTACAGCTTGCCAAGAGCAGGAAATGAGAAAAGAGGATTTTTACTTATAAATTACTTTTGTGGTTGGAGAAAGGTAAATGGAAAAACTCTATTGTTAGCATATGTCTACTGCGGCTAGATTGTCTATTGCGCCTTATACGTGATATAGTAGAGAGTGCTTATGTCAGCTAACAGAATTGTTAATGGAATAGCTGAGATACAAAGGAAAGAGCTGTGAGAATCTGTAAGATATTTCCCAGCCTGCCAAAAGGCTAAGACTTAAGGCCAATGTAATTCAAGCCGATGTAGCTAGAGCTCTATCTGGTAATCATATAATCGTATATAGGCAACACAGGTTTTTTTTCCTTTATATATTGATAGAGTTGAGGATTTCGATGTCAATTAACAGATTTGTTAATGGAGGAGTTTGTTGACCTCTTTTTCCACAGCTCATTTCTAATGCAGGCCTACGCTATGTTGATATGGTATGATTATAATTGGCTTTTAGCGACCTTTCTATATTTAAACTTTGTAAATTTGTGCAGACTTTGGTTAGAATATTTTTAGATTTTAGCTAATTTGCAAGTTGACAAGGTTTTTGCATACGAAATGTGAGCTATTTCAAGAATTTTCCACTGCTTTCATCAGCTACATTTACTGTCGCCTGCTGCTGGTTCGTCTTCGTCTTGATAAGCTGAGGGAGCAGCAGCAAGGAATGTTAACTTATTTTATTTATTTATAAGAAACAAGCTAAATTGCTTTAAAAATAGTTATCTTGACGGACCGAAAGGTTTAACCCAAAAGAACTTAATGTGCTGTCAATCGTATGGAAGACGGCTAAAATGGGTTAATCGATGTGAACAAGACTTGTGTTTGTATGAGACCTACATATATAAAGGTGGCTTGATGTGGATGAATTGATTATATAAAGAGGTGATAATGCCAAAAATATAAGTTGGAAAATTTTATGAAGATTTTTTGATAATTAATATGATTTTGATAATGTTATGATTGAGGAATGTATAACGAGTCAAATGATGCTGGACTATGCAGCTGATACATACCCAACATATATATGTATATATACATATATATATACACATAAAGACATTCCCACTACACAACCTTCAACCAGAACAGACAGATATTTAGCTTTAAATTCCTGTTTCCTATCCTCAGCCATTAGCTGCAAAGCCGCAAAGCTCTAACCGTTGCGTTCAATTCAATTTCTAAACCTATTTCGAGCTCGGTTTTGTGCTGATTTATTTTCTCTTTTTCTCTCTTATTTTTTCGGTGCTCTCTAAAAAAATGTGTGTGTTTTTTTCTTTTCTTATTTTTTTTTGGCTCTGCTATCGGCTCTTTGATGCTGCATGACAACAATGGAACTGGCATTGGTCTCGCTTCCTGTCACATGGGCATGTCGATTGGTCCTGGGCCGCTTGCAGCCAATTGCAGCGTTGGCAACACAACATTCGCACATGGAGCCACATTTAAATTGGATTGCAAAACCCAATGCGTTTGCGAGGTAAGTAGAGGGCGCGGAGCCGGACGAGGCGGAATGCTTGATAACATGCCACAGATTGGGTTTAAGGTCAAATGCAGTTGCACTAAAAAGCATCAGTTGCAGCCAGTTGCAGTGATAGCCTTTTAGCTTTGTTGCTAGCAAATATTTTGTATAAGGGCTAACATTTAACACTTATGTGACTACAGATTGAGAGAACCTGTACAAGGATTAGCTTTAGCTTATATAGTATTTAGAAATACTTTTGTGAGCAGCGATTAAAAGTTATGTCTGTATGTGGAACTTGAGCAATATTGTTTTGCTTTATATATGGGTTAACATTTAACACTTATGTGGTCATAATTTGATATGTTAACATCGTATAAGCTATAAGGTGCAACATGCTATTTCTATGAATTTCTATTAGCATATGTTTAACCCTTATGCTTAGACTGATTGAAAGCCAGCAGATTATTATAGAGCCTCTCTCTTTCTATATATAAATATATATCTCAATATCTATAGATATTATGCTGTGCTGCAGTTGGTCAGAAATTATAGTCTAGTATTTGAGATGTTTTTGAATTCAATAAAAATGATTCACATGGAAATTTCTAACCAGCTGACAATTTCTCTTAGCCAAAGGCCTCAAATGACAGAGCTGCTCATAGCCTATAACTATGGCAATGCTAATCCCACAATAATTATAGTACATTTTGTTAAGCTTTAGTTGTGCTATATACCACACAGATTCTTATTATTCAATTTACTTATTATAGCTTAGTCAGCTAAAAGCTCATAAATGAGATTTACGCGCAATTATATGAGAAGCATGCAAAGGATTGTCTAAATCTGGTCAGAAACAAAATCTTGGCATTGGTTAATGACCGCACATTTGTCTGTAATGTATGGGTGTGTGTGTGTGTGTAAATTTGCTTACATGGCTATATGTGTGCAAGTGTGTTCGCACCTATTGCCTGCTGCGGCCGTTTATCATGGCGCATTGGCGAAGATACCACCACGCACACACTCACACACACACACGCAGACACTCCCATGCAAATAGTCGACAATTTATTCAATGCAATTTGGTTAGCAAAGCGAAAAAGGCTGTTAATTGAAGGCCAAACTTAGTTAGGGCTTAGACAAACAGATTCGGCTTTGGCCAATACATAGGGAATGCGCTTTAATATGACTTTATTTGCGGGTGTGGCAAACAAACAACAGCCACACGCTACCCTCTGCCGAAATTGAATGTATTTTAATGTTGCTTCACTGTTTGCAGAATGGTCGCCATGCCTGCTCCACGCTGTGTCCCAATGAGCAGCTGCCGGCGCCGGAGGACACGATTTCATGCAGATCACCGCGTCTGGTCGAGGTACCCGGCCACTGTTGCAAAATGTGGCTCTGTGAGAATCCAACAGCTGATGGTAAGTTGTGTGTGTGTGTGTGTTTGTGTTTGTGTTTGTTTGTGCTGCGTCTCAGCCAACGGCGAGATCCGTGGTCCATGGCTTTGTTATTGTTTTATAAGTGCGTTTATGGCCCCAGCCCTGCTGCTGTACTGCTCTCTGTTGCTGCGGCTGTAACTGCGGCTACGGCTTGGCCATGGTCCCGTGCTAATGGCGCCCAGGGGTAGCCAGTTGCCATGCCCTGGCACAACTTAATGCTGTTTAAGCGCCCAGCCAAAAGCGCAACGCATATTTATGAAGATGAATTATTCCATGACAAGGCAACAGTCGAGAGCGTCTGTTGCTCTTGCTGTTGTTGTTGTTGTTGTTGTTGTTGTTGTTGTTATTGCTGTTGCCAGAGGCAATGGACAGCAGCAGCAGCATAATTACTTACACAAGGATTAAGTGTTAATTAAACGCGCAAAAATGCAATAAATAAACAAGATTATTAAGCGCTCTTAAGATGCCCTTACTCGAAATGGGCTTAACGCCTTCATCAAATGGTTGAAGTACGAGCTTATATATATATATATATATATATATATATATATATATATATATATATATATATATATATATATATATATTAATGATGTATATATCTGTATGTACATAGACAGCTGTTGCTTACTAATTGCTTAGCAACATTCACTGGACGAGTAGAAATTCTGTTTAATATATAGAAACTATATAGAACACTAGGTAGGCACTCAGATGGTACAGTCTAAGGCTTAACAGCTCTTGAGAGATAAAAGAACTTTCTTGAATGCCAACTTTAGGGTTTCAGCAGATTACAAGCAATCCCAGCTCGGATAGGGGTGAGTGCAGCTGCTCTTAATAAAGATAAAAAGTTAAGTTTGTCATGGAGTGTCAGACAATCCAAGCCCATGGATATTTACAGCAATGAGCGTGATCTATAAATGCATTATAAATTGGTATGCAAGTGTAAAGATCTTGAAAAGCAAATGTAGCTCTAGCCACACAACTGAAAACGCAGTGGAAATGCCAATAAATCCACGCTGATAGTAGCAAATTAATTCCATGTTGCTTAAGTGGAAAATGCGTGGAATGATGAAGGCAGATAAAGCCTAATCAAACATTAGCAGGGGGACATTTCTGACTCATGTCTGCTGCTTCACCGAGTTCTTGGGTTAAATAAATAATGATTCGCTGACCTACTTGCCTTTGCACGTACTTAGTAGTTGCTGCGACTGAGTTTACTTCAAAGAGGTTTGCTAAGCAGTCCATTTAGTTACTTATGCCACAGTAAGCACTCGGGCCATTAGGCAGCCAATCATAAACATTAGCAATACTGTGTTTTTTTCCTCTTCTCATTATTGTAGTCTACGCCACCTGCCACAACAGCAGCATCAGTGGCAATTGGAGCGCCTGCAGTCGGGCATGTGGCCTGGGCATGGCCACAAGGCAGACGAGCACCCATGCCGGCTGCCATCAATTGAGCAATTTACGGCTTTGCGAGAATCGCAGATGTGTCCAGGACAATAAGCGGAGCAACAGCAACAGCAACAGCAACGGCAACAGCAACAGCAAGAACAATGCCAACAGCCACAATAGACTATTTAACAACTTGGCCAGAAGCCAGCTTCATCAGCTGCATCATCATAAGAGGAATGGCCACGGCGTAGCGCTCGATATGCAACAGGAGCCCGCACACAGAATTAGAGTGAGTTTTCCTTGCCTCGTGATGTTTCTGCTGCTGTTTTCTTACTATCTGCCATCTCCACAGAAGGGTCACGAGTGCCGCAGCTTGCAGCGCTTGGGCACTGCTCGGATTCGCCTGGGCGAGTGCGTCTCACGTAAGCTCTATCGTCCAAAGCTGTGCGGCAGCTGCCATCGGGGCACCAAGTGCTGCATTCCAGCTGTTTCCACAACAATCCAAGTAAGTTCTGTGTTTTGTCTTAGTTCTGTCTTAATCACGATTTTAGCTGAGTTGTTCCATTCGATTGCATTACTTAATTAGCTCAAAGGTTCATTTTAATGCAAGTCAAGCGATGCTAATTAATTAATTCTTGATTATTGATGACAGCAAGAAATACCCTATAAAGAAAGGCGAACTGAAAAGTTTTCAAATGCAGATTTATTTTTACTGAATGTAGAATTCAATTAAAAATTTTAAATAAATTTTGTTAGATAGGAAAACATATTTAAAAATATTTGAAAATAAAAATAATAATTAATAATAAAAATAAAGATTCAGAAATCAATTTTAAAAATTTTCGGACTAAAATTTTTGTTGATTTAGAATTTTTTTTGTGTCAAATATAAAAAAATATTTAAGAATTAATTAATTAAATTAAATTAAATTAATGTGCTTATATTTTTATATAGATAAATGCCTATATATTTTTATCAATTTAGATGTTATGTTACCTAAAATTAACTTTTAAAGAGCATTTGACATGTGACACAAATGAAATTGAAATGTTTTCCTTATTGCTGTTTATTTGATTGGATTTAACTTTTTGACCGTCTTTGAGTATTAATTAAAAAGCGAATTGGATTAAAACGTCAATTTGCAATTGCAATTGGCAGCTGCAGTTGCAGCTGAAGATGGCTGTCAAACTGGATTTAGCAGCTCGGGCCGATTGCTCTTTCGCTCTCGAGCGCAATTTCCGATTTATTAAAATGTTGCCCTTAGACAGGAGCGTAACTCTTGCCTTGATTTCCACTCGTTGCATTTACAAGCTTTCTCTCTTCTCTTCTTTTTTTCTTCCTCTTTTTCTCGTACAGGTGGAGCTGCTGTGCCCTTTAAATGCCGTTGATCCAATTAACTACGTACAAAAGCGCATGCAACAGGACGAGGCAGCCGACAGTTGGCAACCGGAAGGACAGTTATGGAACACCATTGGCTTGGAGCCCATCGATCAGGAATTTCTGCAATCACATCAAATACAAATTGAGAATAAATTCGTTGCCATCGAGTGGATACTAAAATGTGAATGCAGCAAGAATGTGAGTATCGGTGCGGTCGGGACAGGCGGGGCAGGTGGGGCCTAGCAGCAGAAGTAATATTCATACCCAGTGTCCTAAACGTAGTCATATTTTTGTACGTACTCGTCTGTATATTGCCATTCCATGCCAAACAGCAGTCATTCAAGAGCCCCAACCCTATCCCCCAACTGCTCTATATAGTCGCGCCTTCTTTCTCCTACCCTCTCTCTGGCCCATTATCCACAGCAGCTGCACGAAAATTGCTTTCACTTGTCATTTTAATCGCATTTTTCTTGTTGTTCTTGCTTATAAGCATTTTCTTTGCTTTGTGCACGATACCCTTTAGAGTGGGTATTATGATGATGACGACATCGTTTGGCAAATCAATTTTTATGAGAACTTTTGTTTTATATATTCCTGAGAATTAAAATGAGATATAAGTATCAAAATAGGTCTGAGTATTTTAGTTATATTTATATATTTATTATAATAGGTTTCTTCTTTAAAGAACTCTTCATTTTTATTCACATATTTTTTTATATTAAAAAAAAGGGAATTATGACTAAAAATGAGTTTGTACATATTTTTAAATCCTTTTTAGACAAATCGTTGAGTATTCCATATATATTTTATTATTATTATTATTATATTTATTATAATTAAATATTTTATATCATATATCATTAAGCAACTTTTTTTAATGTATAAAAATATATATTTTTAATATATTTTTATAAATTTTCTTTAGGATATTAAATAGTCGTTGCTTTGTAAAAGTTGTTTTCTTTTGTTTTTGTTTATTCCGTTTTTTTTTTGCGTTTTATGTTCTATGCACAAATGTTTTGTTTTGCTTTTTTGTAAAAAAATATTACTGCAATTTTTTCTGTTGACTGTTTTTGTGTTGTGGGCGTCGTGGGCGGGGACTGTGGGCCCGTGTTCAGAGTCAGTCGCTCGTTTGCAAAAGTTCGCACCCAGCTGTCTGTTGTGTTTTCCCATTATTTGGGCGTATTCATCTTGAATGCCTGTTCAGCCCTGCCTCGTGCCTTCCATTGTAGTTGTTGTTTTAGTTATTCGGTATTTGTATTTCTATTTGGGAAGTGCGAGTACGAATGCAATGATTGGATTTTTATGAATACATTCATCAAAGCGCCCTGCCACCGACAACCACTGCCAACCACTGGCAACCATCGACAACCACTGGCAACAGCTACCGCCTGCTACATTGTTTCCCCACACTTTTGCATACATGATTATTTTTTAGTTACACACAGTTTCAATAGAGCTATGCTCGTGTGGCTTTCAGTTCATGTGCGAGTTTATCAGCGGTTTGCATTGGTGGCAAGTGCAGCACGAGTGCTGAACAAGCAAGCTGAAAGTTAAGTTAGGACTTATTAAATAGTGTAAATATATAAAGAACTTAGTTAGATTGACAGAGATTGAAATATGTTATTTAATAATAACATAAACTAAACCGAAATCAAAATAGTTCAATTTACTCATCATGCTCAATTCCCCCGCTCTACTCCCTCTTTCTAATCCTCTAAACAATGTCTATAACAAGTCGTACACAAAATAGTTACTTAATTATTTGTTCCTATTTAAAGGTCCAAAATCTAAAGCAAATATTTTGTTGCCAAAGATAATTTTGTTACTATTTATTTGACATAAATAATCTTCGCTAGCATTTATCTTACGATTACATCAAAGCTTGTATAAGAGAAGAGAGGGAGAGAGAGAACGACTGAAAGGCAAAGAGCGCGCGTGTCAGTGACGCCGACGTCAGCGATTAGTCAAGCCAAACATGTGTGGGCAACTGCTCATTATTGATGCGAGCCACTCAGCTCATTAGAGCGCAGCGCTGACAGAAGAGAGAGAAAGTCGGCCGGGCAGAGCTGAAAGAAGTTGAGCGACAATTCAGTTGCTAGCCGAACGTCTAGCGGAACAGACGTGTGCGGGTGATCTACGCATCAACACAGTAGCATAATGAGTGCCATACGCTCCTCTCTGAGCAAAACAAAAAGAACTGCTCGCATCGTGATCATTGGTGCCGGCACAGCGGGCATTGCTGCAGCCACACGGCTACTGGAGCAGGGTTTTAGGAACATATTACTGCTGGAAGCAGAGAATCGAATTGGTGGTCGGATTAATACGATTCCCTTTGCGGACAATGTGGTGGATCTGGGCGCCCAGTGGTGCCACGGCGAAGTGGGCAATGTGGTCTATGAGCGGGTCAAAGAGTTGAACTTGTTGGAGACCACTGAGGATCACTATGAAACCTTCAGGTGTGTGCGCTCCAACAAGCAGCTGCTGCCCGATGATATTGCGAACAATCTGAAAAATATTGCATTTAACTCGATTCCGGAACGACAAACGGAACTTGTCGATTTCAAAGGCTCCCTGGGTGACTATATAACGCAGAAATACTGGCAAGAGGTAGCCAAGCTGCCGCCAATCAATCGCGCCATAGCCGAAGAGTTTCTCGAGAACTTTCACAAGTTCGAGAGCTCAGTGGAGGCTGCAGATCATTTGTATGAAGTCTCTGGCCGTGGACATTTGGAATACTGGCTCTGCGAGGGTGAGCTGCTGCTCAACTGGCGCGACAAGGGCTACAAGAGCTTCCTACGTCTGCTCATGAATGCCAGGGAAGAGGAGGCCGATGATCTGGGTATGCTGAAAGGACGAGTCTTACTTAACAAGCGCATATCGCAGATAAACTGGGAAGGAGCTGGTGATCTAGTCATACGTTGCTGGAATGGAGAAGTGATTACAGCGGATCATGTCATCTGCACAGTATCCTTGGGTGTATTGAAGGAGCAGCATGCGAGCATGTTTGTGCCAGCTTTGCCGGAGGCCAAGGTGCGAGCGATCAACGGACTCAAGCTGGGCACGGTTGACAAGTTCTTCTTGGAGTACCCTGTGCCACCTCTGCCGAAAGACTGGCCAGGCTTCTGCTGCCTCTGGCTGGAGGAGGACTTGCAGGAGTTGCGCGCCAGTGAACGCTTCTGGCTGGAGAGCGTATTCGGATTCTATCCCGTGTCATATCAGCCCCGTATATTGCAGGGATGGATTATTGGCGAACATGCCCGCCACATGGAGACGCTCACTGAGGAGGAAGTACTCGAGGGCTTGCTGTGGCTCTTCCGCAAGTTCCTGCCCTTCGAAGTGCCACAGCCACAGCGCTGGCTGCGCACTCAATGGCATGCGAATCCCAACTTCCGAGGCAGCTACACCTTTCGCACCACCTACGCCGATGAGCTGCGCACTGGCGCCTGGGATCTGGAGGCGCCACTGCTCGACGTGGGCGGCAGGCCAAGGCTACAGTTCGCGGGCGAAGCTTCACACAAACACTACTACTCAACGGTTCACGGCGCAGCAGAGACGGGCTGGCGGGAGGCGGAACGCCTGAACAGCTACTATCGCTCCAGAACAGCCCAGTTATGAGGGCCAGATAAGCGGCTACGAGCACAAGCCCATAAAAGTGTTCAGCAATTTCTGTTATTCTATATATGTATATATAATGGCTATTTGAAGTCGAGTATTAGCGTTGATAATGAAAATTAAATGAAGCTTGGTGAATAATTAGACTTAAAGGCAGTTGAAAGGAAATCATTTCTCGAAGAGGGATCTGTCGTCCTAGAGAGGAGAAGGCATGCGTCGAGGTGGGAGCTGCCTGCTTTAGGTAAATGTTAAGACATGAATATTTGATCAGTTTTAATCAGAGTTCCTAGCCCACTCTCTGCCAACCTCTTTGCCTACATTTGAAGTAAAAACTGCTTAGGCTTATTTGAAAATGAGTAGCTGAACCGCCTACTCACGGAATGCATATTGAGTTGAGCATAGGAGGCCAGAGTTTGGACCATTTTTAACGCTGGGTCCCAAACATGTTGACCAACTCATTTGCAAGCGAACGAGCCGCACACAACAATGTAATTGCACTGTTATTGCGAGTTGGGGGCGTGGCAGAGCACTTAACACATGCAAAAAGTCTAAACAGGAACAGAAATGCAATGGCAAAAATCAGTTTCGGCAGTAGCCGGACAAAACAATGCCACAAAACCCACAACCCCACAAGCCCACAAGCCCACAAACACGCCCCACGCCTCCCCGACTCTATGAACTGGACTCGCCTCGCCTGGGCTGTGGAAAATGTTTTAACCAGTGCCAGCAGCGCTCCTACCTAAATGTTGAAAATTCAAATTTATGCCACGCAGAGGCCAAAAGGCATTAGAGTCCCGGTTTCATGTATTTGCCAGCACGCCTCCAAGCCAGCTCTGCTCGCCGATTACCCACATATACAGGCTCCCCCACATTACATATGCAGAGACAGGTCTCTGCTCCTCCTCCACTTCTGCAAGTTGGCTACATCTGTTGCGGCTTTGCCCAGCCATTTGGCAGCAGTTGGGTCCAGCCAGTCGGATACGTGCGACAATCAGAGAAAATGCCCTTGTTTGTCCGGCCTCTGGTCAGACATCTGACGTGGCTGAAGGCTAGCTAGGTAAAAGCTCCGTTTGCGTGTACCAAAAAGTGTCATATATTTTCGCATACTTGAAATTTGAGCTAGGAATTAGCCAACTCAGTTGATGTGAACTGATCTAGTTAGTGTGGTGCATTCAGTCTAAATTTTAAATTGGGTTCACATCAGTAAGTTGAGCCGCTGCTTAGGAATAGTATAGATTCAGCCGATCCGCCTCCCGCCAGCCCGTCTCCGTGGCGCCATGCACCGTGGAGTAGTGGGTTCTGCTCGAAGCCTCTCCAGCGAATAATAATCTTGGCTTGTCGTCAACATCAAACAGAGGCGCCTCCAGCTGCCAGGGCCCTGTCCTCAGGTCGTCCGTATGGATGCTGCGAAAGCTGTAGCTGCCACGGAAATTGGGATTCGAGTGCCATTGCGTGCGTAGGAAGTTCAGCGGTTGCGGCACATCAAAGGGCAGAAATTTGCGGAGCATCCACATCAAGCCCTCGAGCATCTCGGCATCCTGCAGGGTCTCCATATAGCGTGCATGCTCGCCAACGATCCAGCCCTCCAGCATGCGCGGCTGATCTTCAAATCTATGCACTGCGGAGATGCTCTCCACCCAGAAGCGCTTGCTACAACGCAGCTCCTTGAGATCCTGCTCCATCCAAAGGAAATCAATGCCAGGCCAGTTTTGAGGAAGCGGCTGCACTGCGAACTCCAAGAAGAGCTTGTTCACGGTGCCCAGACTGAGTCCATTGATGGCTCGCACCTTGCTCACTGGCAGAACGGGCGCGAACAGACTACGATGTTCTTTCTTCAAAACACCCAAGGACACCGTGCAAATGACATGATCCGCCGTAATCACTTCTGCATTCCGGCAAGGCAACGCCTGTCCATCTGTCCAGTTAATCCGTGTGACGCGCTTGTTCAGCTGTACTTTACCATTGAGCACACCCAGATCCTGGGGGTCATTCTCCTTGGCTTGCATGAGCAATCGAAGAAAGGTTATGTAGCCCTTATCCCGCCAGTGGATCAACAGTTCGCCCTTGCATTCGACAAACTCCAGGTGGCTACGACCCGAAAGTTCGAATAGAGTATCCGAGCCCTCAGTGCCGCATTCGCCTCGCTTAAAGCATTCAAACATCTCCTCGGCTATGTCGCGATCCACATCGGGAATCTTGGCTACCTCCTGCCAATACTGCTGGGTTAGATATTCACCCATGGACCCATCGTAGGCATTGGGTCCATCTGGTATAGAGTTGCCGGCGGCTGTTCTCAGGACATTGGCCATTGCCTCTGGGACGATTTGCTTGTTGGAGCGCAGAAAGCGAAAAGTGTTGGTTAAGTCGCCCGGTTTTGTCACGATATCCAGATCCTTGACCCGCTCATAGACCACATTGCCCACTTCGCCGTGGCACCACTGTGCACCCAGATCGATGACGTTGTCCGCATATGGAATCGTATTTATGCGTCCGCCTATGCGATTCTCTGCCTCCAAGATGCTCACATGCGTGAAGCCATGCTCAAGCAGCCGTGTGGCAGCTGCAATGCCCGAGGCGCCTGATCCAACGATGACAATGCGCGCTGTCTGCTTGGACTTGTTCTGCAGGCTAGCCTGAATAGCAACTGGGCGACAACTGATCATGGTGTATGTCTACTAATGTCTGCCTACCTGTGTCAGGTTCACAGATAGTGACGACTGCGACCAGCGACTGTCTAGACAGAGCAAATAGTACTCCTATTTATATGTATCTGTTGGTGCTTGGGTTTCGATAAGGGCCAGTGGGGTTAATTGGTTTTGTTGCTGTGGCTTTCTGTTATCAGCAGCTGCATTTACTTATTCGATTCTTACTCGTAGTTTGGCATTGAGCTTTGTACATATGTTTATAAATTTTATTTCTAATTTGATCGTTTTAATGTGTCATGATTTTAGAGCTTGCTTCAAAATAAATTGATAGAGATTCCAATACAGAATACAGGGTGTCTATGCAGTTGCGCCAGCGAGACTTAACAAATTGATTGCCGAGTAGGTAATAGAAATAATATAAAAATAAATAAAAGCACTTCTATGAATGGCAGCTAGGTAATACCCTGGATTTATCTGTTAAGAATATATTTTTGAGCATGAATTTTCATGTATGTTCCGAGTCGAAGATTCGCTGTTTTCTACTACTGGCTCTTAGAGTAAGAAATATATTAAATAGAGCCTGCATCTGTTTTCAATATATTGGCTATGTTTACTCTATGTCTGTATACACTTAAATATACCCCTCGCCCTATTCCCCCATATAGATTGAATAATTTAATCATTTTTTTACGTTTCTTTGTTTATTTTTATATTTTTTTCAATGTAAATGAAAACGAGCTAAAAGTCTCGATAGCCAGCACAAGCTTAGACGATTGTTAGCCAATTATTTTATAATAATCGTGTCACGCCCATCTCACGATGCATTGCGAGCGCTGTAAAAGGCATTGAGACGGTCGGCTTCGCGCCAGCCGGTTTCTGTGGCCCCGTGCACTGAGGAATGGTGCGTCTTGCTGGTTGCCTCGCCAGCGAACTGCACTCTCAGCGTGCCGTCGGCATTGAGTAGTGGCGTCTCCAGATCCCAGGGGCCGGTGCGCAGCTGATCCGTGTAGGTGGTGCGAGAGCTGTAGCTGCCACGGAAATTGGGATTCGAGTGCCACTGCGAGCGCATGAGCTTCAGCGGCTGTGGCATGTCGAAGGGCAGGAACTTGTTGAAGAGCCACTGCAGACCGCTGAGCACTTGCTCCTCAGTTAGAGTTTCCATGTAGCGAGCATGCTCGCCTATGATCCAGCCCTGCAGCAGGCGTGGCTGGTGCAGAACGCGATGGAAGCCGAAGACGCCCTCCAGCCAAAAGCGTTCGGTGCCGCGCAGCTCCAGAAGATCAGCCTCCAGCCAGAGGAAATTAACGCCAGCCCAATCCTTGGGCAAGACGAGCGCAGCATACTCCAGGAACAGTTTATTCACGGTGCCCAGCTTGAGTCCATTGATGGCCCGTACTTTGGTAACGGGCAACGCTGGCACAAACAGCTTCTCATGCTGCTCCTTGAGCACGCCAAGGGAGACGGTGCAGATGACATGATCCGCAGTGAGCACCTCGCCATCCCAGCAGCGCAGCAGCAGCTCATCGGAGCCATCCCAATTGATCTCAGTGAGGCGCTTGCTGAGCTGCACACGCCCATTGAGCACGCCCAGATCCTCGGGCTGATCCGCCTTGGCATTCATCAGCACGCGCAGGAAGGTCTTGTAGCCCTTGTCGCGCCAGTTGAGCATAAACTCGCCTTCGTCCTTGACAAACTCCAGATGCGCACGGCGCGAGACCTCAAACAAATGATCGGACGCTGTGAAGGAGCATCTGAATCTTTGAAGGTTATCCAGCATCTCCTGCGCCACTGTACGATTCACAGTTGGGGACTTGGCCACAATTTGCCAATAGTTGCTCGTCAAGTGGTCGCCCAGCGAGCCGTTGGCCTCATTGGGCTCCACGGGCAGCGACAGCTCTACGGCAGTGGCCAGCTGTAGGGCTGTCTCGTCGCTCAAGATCTCCTTGTTGGAGCGCACAAAGTGCGTCGCCTTTAGGGCATCGCCCGTGGCGTGCAATAGATTCAAATTCTTGACCCGCTGATAGACGGCATTGGTGCCCTCGCCGTGGCACCACTGGGCGCCCTTGTCGATCACACTGTCCCCAAACGGCACGGTATTGATGCGTCCGCCCACGCGACTCTCTGCCTCCAAGATCTTAACATTCTGAAAGCCTTGCTCCAGCAGGCGAGTCGCAGCTGCAATGCCCGCAGCTCCAGCTCCAACGATCACAATTCGCGCAGTTTGCTTCGACTTTTTCACAGCTGCCGTTCGCGTGCTCATGACTTTTAGTTTTTTTTTTTAGATTTTATAAAACAAATTCGCAGAGTTTATTTTAGCGTTTGCTTTGGCGATTCGCTTGCCACTGAGTTAAACAGCCGCAATTTAGCTGTTTTATATTCTAATCTGTGCTCTCTCTCAGCGTCTGAGCTAAGTGTCGCTCTGACTAGACTTACTGATCGACAATTATAGTTAAAACTAATATTACGATGACCCCAAGCGCTGGACTTGCTCTAGAATATAGGCAAAACTTGCGTCAAAATAATTAGATTTAATATGATTTACACGACATAATTGTAGAGTTCATTTAATATAGAGTCTATACATATATTTAGTTTTAGTCAAGTTTAGTTTGACCTTCAAATGCATTGTTGTTGCTTTTATAATTGTTGTTAATCATAGGCGACACAGTTTGTGTTTTTGTATTCTATTCGTACTCAAGGCAAATGTCAATGCCAATTGATAGAGAGTTTACAAGTGCTTCTCTATTTTATAACTATATAATATAAGTATTTTCAGCTCACATATCTCAAAGTAGTTTTGCTATATTTGATAGCAGCGAACTATACGGACATCAAGCAATATTTTGTAAACATTTTATTATTCGTCAACAATGTGAAAATGATAAACTGGTTTAGCGCGGTGTTTGACTTGCTACTCGAGACATGGAACGTGAAATATGCCATTGCTAGATAAGAATACCTACTCAGAAAGTCTACATCTATTGGGGAGAAAAGAATATACATTTCTTTAGGTTCACAGTGAGTTTTCGAATTGCAAACATCCAAATCTTAAGAGCTGAGCACATCAATCTGTGGATCTGTGAGATCTAGATATGAATCTCTACACTTTATCGCAGCTGTTGCACGTGAGCGAGTATTGTGCAGTCGTTTGCTTCGGAATAAACTTTACTTACTTGTTTTGGGCTCAATTTTCATTTTTATTAATTATTTTAAATTAATTTAAATTTTGAGTAAAGTTAAATTTATCTTTTTGACTACTTTTTGTATGCTAAATTGAATTATACATTTCTATTGTAGAACCTTTTTAAATTTTAATTGAAAATGTTGAAAATATTTCAAATTTGTTTCTAAATTTTCATATTGATTTATTGAAATTACATTTTTTTTAATTAAATTAACATTTTAGAGATTATATTACATTTAATGTAGGTCAGTCCAATAAATATTTAAACAAAAATTTTTATTTATATATATTAATATATATTTTTTATTTCTTAAGAGTTTGTTTTTTTTTTTAATTTAATTTAATATATGTTTTTGGTTAGTTTTATAAGTATATAAAAAGTTTTGTATCATTTTTTTTATATTAATTTTATTTTAATTTTATTTGTAATTGAAATCAAAATATACATTAATTTGTTGTTTTTTTTTTAATCTCAATTTTAATTGTGTTTAAATTTAAAGAAATAAATTTATTGATAACTGTTAATTTATTTTTAATTTTTGTTATAGTATAAAAGATTTAAATTATTTTAATATTAATTGTAATTTTAAATTGAAATTAACTTTATTTTCTCAGCACTAATTTAAATATTAATATTAAGTAATTCGCTTAGTAATAGTCGCTCTTAGCCAATATTATTAGCTTTATCGCACTTATCTTGCCTTAAGTATGCTCGATCGAGCTGAGGGCTTATCGAGGTGCTGTCGCAGCTCTCCTGGCACACTTATCGCTTATCAGTTGGAAAGGTAGACCCATTGGAAGAAATGGCAATAGGAACAGCAACAGCGAAACACGATTAAGGCATACTTTATTTATTATTGTTAAATGTTTTGTCTTCATGGTTATTGCTGTGGGGTTCGCCCCACTGAAGGCGGCTCCCAGTTGGGCTTAATGCTGGTGGAATTGTGGTTTTCTATCTTATCTTGGCCTTGGCTTTTATTTGTGTGCATTCAAGCAATATTATTTTGCAAATGCAATTTAATTTAATTGTATTTTCAGGCACATAACCGCAAAGCCCAATTACATAAGAGCCTTAAATAATAAAAGCATTTCTTATCAATTAGTGACGTATGCAAAAGAAGCTGAAGCACAATTAAATTGCTGCCAAACATATTTTTATTATCAATTTCACAACTCAATTAAATTCTCAGACATATATGCACCCTGTATACCAATTAGATTGAGCTTCCTTCTTTGTTCACAGTTTTGCAGCGCGGACAAAAATCGAAAGCTGCCTTCAAATGCAACCAAATATGCCAAGCACAGCAAGGGGCAGCAGAAGGAACGTTTACATGCAACCAAGGTGCTACAAAATGAGCTGAAATCCAAATATGACGAACTGCAAGATGTGTCAGGATATGAAGTCGAACAGCAGCAGCAGCAGCAGCAGCAGCAGGGGGCGAATGTTAGGAATGCGAAGAGCAATGAGGAAAATTCATCATCGGAACAACAGCCAGATATAATACCCTATCCGCTAGGCGTGGGCGAGATCAGCTGGAAGAAGGAAAAACGGCAAAGAAAAGAGAAAGAAGAAGCAGCTGATCAAGGGCAACAGTGGCAGCAACGCACATAGCGTCAAGCGAGACTTGCAACATTTTCCAAGCTAAAGAAGAAAAAGAAACATGATTGATTGATTCAGCTAAGCAGTTGAGTAGAACCTAAGATTTGTACAGCATAGCGATATATTGATATATATATAAATGTATTTTGAATTTTGAACTAAACTGAGATTAAGCTTGTAAAAAAACAAAACCAATTTGGGATATGGTTTAGGATTTGAGCTGAAAGAAAAAGCATTAAGTGTAATTATGTGGATAAAAAAGCGAGTTGAGAGCTGACGATACGAAATACCTAAACAGCAGAAAGGCAAAAACAATATTTTGTAATATTTCAATTATGAAATATGAATAAAAATCAATTTAAATATATATATATATAGATATATATATGGCATTAATATGTATTTTTGCGAGCACACATATACAGAAAGCTGCTTACACAAAATAATAAAGGAAAACTTCAAACGAGCAAAAAAGTTGGTCGAAGTGGATAAATGTAATTTTCTTATATAGATGTACAATAAATGGCTTAACTTAACTTAAAACGAAGAGTTGATTGTATGTATGTTTAAACTATATAATTGTGCTATATACTCCGATGCTTATATTCCGATGCTTGTGCAAGAGGCGCATTGAAGACTCTGCTTGAACAGATCAGTTAAACAAGATAATAGAATAGCCGACATTGAGTAACTATCGCTCGTTCCACAAAGTAAAACATATCCCACAAGTTAAATATATAGATATATCTATAGTTTACGAGAGATCACAGCTTGTGCACACTCATATCCATACCCATATCAATTGTATCGTACGACAACTTCTAGGGGAGGCAAGCGCAAGCAGATAATACTATATAAAATATAATAAACAAATGAAAATTTAAATATATAAAAAAAAAATTCAAAACTTGTCGATTTTATTCAGGTTTTTCTAAATCACATTTCGTCAAGTTGGCAATCCATTCGTCCCATTTCTGTTGCCATTTCTCCATGCCCTCGCAGTATTCCTCTTTGGTGAGTGCACTGTACTTGATGGAGCTTATGGCCAAGTGCTTCAACAACTTGATGTCTGCCGAGTAGGGCGCTATGCCCAGGAAGGCGAAGTAAAAGTCGTGCGTTAGGGGCGTGGCATGCCAGAACGAAGGATCATCAGAGGCAATCACAATGGGCACATTGTTGGCAATGAGCATGGAAGCCGGATGGTTGCGAAAGTCGAAACCCAGCTGCAGAACTTGGTTCGACACGGGACACACTTCGATGGGTATGTCTAGTTTCTTGACCAGCTCCATGGCCACAGGATGCTTGACCAGGGCATATCCATGTCCAATTCGCTTGGTGCCCAACAAAATGGCATCAATCAGATTCTCATCGATCGAGGTGCCGTACCAATTCGTCTCGCCCGAATGAAAATAGAAGTTGAGATGCTCGGGCATCGATAACAATGGCTCTATGAAATCAACGAGAGGCCGACCCAACTCCTCTTGGCCCACCAAATCGAAGCCAATCAAAAAGTTGGGAAATTGTTTCTATTGATCGTGTAAGGAATATGAAAATGAAGGCAAATCTGATCTCTCTTGACTTACATTCAGGTCAGTGCAATTCTTCACATATTTCTGGACTACTTTGGGACTGACGCCACGGAGCGGCGCATAGATCAGCTTGGCGCCAATAAAGTCGGGATGCAGCTCCTGGAAGCGTTCCGTTTGCGTTTTGTATATCTGCACAGTATTTGCCAAAGGCAGCTTTGAGCCATCCAGAGCATACAAATTGGGTATCACGGACCTCAACTCCAGATACTGCACGCCATCGGCATGCATCTCGGTGAGAGCATTGTAGTAATAGTCCGCCCAGACGGGCTCATGGAGCAGCATTCCGTCGAGCAACTGGAAAATGCTAACGAACTTAGACCAGGCTTCATCCGCGGACACGAAATTGGTGAAGGGATACATGGTGAACCGCTTCTGAAGATAGCTTCTCACCTTCTGCTCGCCGTGACACTCACGATACTCGCACATTTTCTGCCATTTGCAGCCGTCAACCTTAATGTCTGCTGGCTTCGACTCGGAGAAGCGAAAGGCTATTGCCTCACAGCCAGTTTCCCCGACGCAGATCCACAGGTTCTCACGGTAAGTGAGGTCAATGAGAAAGTCGGTGCTGCACAGCGCCGTATCGTGGGCATGCAAAAGGCCGCCCTTTGGCATGGTCTTCAGCAGGCGAAAAAGCGGAGACTCCTTTACTTTTTGCAGCACATCGAATATATGTTGACCCGGCATAAATTTACTCGGATTCTGAAAGCCCGCCTCCAGCTCCTTTGTCTTGACCCTTGTCAGCACCTTATTTGCCGCCAACTCCTGCGACGACAGCACCAAGCTGTCCCCCAAGCAGGAAGAGCGTTCCATGTGTATCAGTATCTTGCGCAGCCTACTGTACGCCTCGGGCGTGATGTCCCTCAGTCCGCGGCTCAGCGCTGCAGGCGTGTACCCCTGAGCTGCAGTCATCTCGCACATGCAGCGCAAGAATTTCAATTGCGCTCTCGAAGACATCTTCGATAATTTTGTTTTTCCAAAAAAAAATAAATAAATAAAATATATAATTGTTAGAGTAATTTAGAATTGAAACTGAAATTTTTTAGAGTACGTCCGAAATGTATACTTTCAACGTACATTTGTCAATGTGAGGCAGGCTGCCACTGAGAGAGAGAGTGAGGGTAAGTGTGAGAGCGAGACGGAGTGATAACACATCCGGCAACTACTATACGCGAACTTTATTAGTTATTTATGTGAACGGCTCCGGTTTTTATGCCCGCGCGCCCTCAACACCACATTAAATGTGGCTGTGCCCAGCATCAAATTGATGAGCCTGCCACAGGCTGTGCCAGCACACGCACACACGGACATATATGTGGCCATCAATTTTATGGCCTCATACATATTCGTCGAGGCGTAAGCCCAACCCGCTGTCCTGCCACCGAATGCATTTTGCGTTGTGCCCCATAAAACTCTGCTCATTACGCGAGCTCAAATCAAAATCAAAATCGAACCAATGGGGCCACGCAACCAGAGCGAGAGAGAGAGAGAGAGCTGGAGAGGGGGAAAGAAAGTGAGATCCGCTGTTAGCACCGCTAAGCAGAAGCACGTAAAATTGATACATTTGGAGCAGTGCTCAAAGCAATCATTGCTTTGGCCCCTGGCCCAAAGCATTCCACATTCATTAAACATCGACCACTTTTCTGTGCACTCAGCAGCAGCAACAACTCTGAATGGCTAAGAGAAGAGATTTATGCCCAGGTCGTATGTTAGCCTGCCAAATGCATTGCACACGGCATATCATTTAGCGATGCAATTCAGATAACGTGAGCGCCTCGACTACTTCAGCGCAGCGCTATTAATCGGTTAAATATGCTGCTTTCAAGTACGGAAGTACATCGTTTATCAGGTACATTGTAAATGTAGCATGCGCTTTGGCATGGTGTTCCACTGTTTTACGTCAAATAATGGCTATGCGATACTTTTAGCTGTGTGACTAAGCTTCAGAATAAATTAATCCTTATGGCAAGTGCCTTGCATATAAAAATTAATTTTATCAGACGCCATTTTTATGTTCTTTGCACATTTAACATGTACTTTAACATAAGAACTTTAAATGAAGTTCATGCTAAATTTAAGCTCAATTTAACGGCCGTAAGCTTTATCACTGATTATACAGATCAGGAGCTATGGACATCACAATCCATATCCAGTTCGTGAGAGCTCACGTTGTCATCTCTAAGCGCAGAGAGGTCCATGCTTGACTGCATTGCTCATTACTGCTATCCTGAGGTTGCTTTTAGCTGGCAAGCGCAGAACATGCACAGGATTTGCGGCAGCTCGACCTGGCAAGCCGAGCTCTTTATTCAAAATGTTTTAGTACAAATGCTTATGACAGAGCAAATGAAAGTGCAAAACTCTTAGTGTACTTAGCGTGAGTAACCTTGGAAGTCGAGTGCTCAGTGGAACTTAACACTATGCCTAAACACTAATCAATATTAATTAGCTTAAAGTAAAACAGCGTGAATGGGAATATGAGTTAGGATGATCGAGTGTGCGAGTGGGAGAGCAGCGTAAGAGCGTCCATACACTGTGCTGCAGAGCTGAGTCTAAACGGGATATCGTCTATTCTCGTCATGCAGGATAGGTCGGCCAGAATTCGTTGATATATTAACCAGACTAGCGCCAAAAACTGTTGTTCAGAAGGGAGAACGTAACCAGAAGCGCTGTCACCACCCGTGCTAGTCAATCGAGCTGTTGGGTGGGCGCACCATTCGTCTCGTCGTTGACAAAGTCGATGAACTGATCCCACTTGGCCTGCCATTTGGCAAGCGCTTCGAACTTCTGATCAGCAGAGAGCGAACTGTATTGAATGGAGTTGAGCGCCAGCTTCTTAAGCAGTCGCAGATCTGCATGCTGTGAGGCAATGCCCAGGAAGGCGATGTAGTAGTCGTGTGAGAGTGGCGTGGCCTTCCAGAAGCTGGGATCATCGGATGAGATGACAACCGGATAGCCATCGGCAAAGAATTGAGAGCAGGGATGGTTGCGGAAATCGCTGACCAGCTTCAGCACCTGGTTCGACACAGGATTCACTTCGATGGCTACATTCAATTTCTTAACCATGTCCAGGACCACAGGATGTTTGACTAGACCGAAGCCATGACCAATGCGCTTGGTGCCCAGCAGCAGTGCATCAATCAGATTCTCATCGACCGTCGAGCCATACCAATTCGTCTCGCCCGCATGGAAATAGAAGTCAATATCCTCAGGCACTTCCAGCAGCTGGTCAACAAAATCTCGAAGCGGACGTCCCGCATCCTCCTGACCCACCAGATCGAAGCCAGCCAAGAACTCAGGGTATTTTGCCTGCAAGGTAGGGAAGAGGTTACACCTAGCTAGACCCACTGCGACTTGTGAGAGTACCTACCTTAACCTGCTTGAGGGTCTCAATGTAACGTGCCACGCCCTCAGCATTAGTGTTGCGCAGAGGCGCATAGATCATGCGTGAGCCTATGAACTCCTTGTTGGCCGGATTATTCTTAAACTTTTCCAGTGTCTCAACATAGATGCGCACTGTGTCGAGTGGGGTAAACTCAGTGCCTTCCAAATCGTAGAGCTTGTGTCGAAAACAAAGATTTATGATCTGTTCGCAATCTTGAAGTGACAAAACTTACTGTGGGCAACGTTGAACGAAATTCGAGATATTGAACGCCATCGGCGTAGAACTCCTGCAGCGCCTTGTAGTAGTAATCACCCCAGACTGGAGCATACATGAGCAGACCATCGAGCAGCTGGAAGATTTGCATGAATCTAGACCAAGCTGCATTGATATCCTGAAAGTCTGTAGTCGGATACAGTGTAAGGCGCTCAGCCAAATAGTCATCCACCTTATCTGCGCCATAGTTTTCGCGCACCTCCGAGAGCAGGCTCCAGTCACAATTGGATTCTGTCAGAGCGTCAGGCTTCTCCTTGGCGAAACGCAAGGCTGCAGCACTCAGGTCACCAGCCTGCTGGCAAATCCACAGATTATCGTAGTAGGTCAGCTCAATGATGGACTTGGTGCTGCACAAAGCCGTGTCATGGGCATGCAGCACGGCTCCCTTGGGCATGCGCTGCAGTAGCTGAAAGAGCTCTGTCTTATTGATGGCCGCGAGCACGTTGAAGATATGCTGTGATGGCTTGAAGAGGTACGGTGCTATCTCGCCCTCTTTGTACTCAGTTAGCTTGGCCTTCATGATCGTTTCGTTGGCCTTCAGTTCACGCGAGCTCAGCTCCAGGTCGTAGCCCAGCGCTCTAGATTCCTCGTAGTTAAAGAACGCATTGCGCACCGTCTTATACGTGTCGGGACTGGGCCGACTGTTGCCCAATAGAGACTCCACGTGGGATGAGCCGATACTGCTGATTGATACGAATTTCGTAATGGTCAGATCTTTGGGCCGCGTGCGTGACTCAGCCGGCCCCAGAGACAGACAGAGGCACAATAGCCCGATTAGATTAGCTCGCAGCATTCTCACAGATTGTTCGAAGGAATCTTATGTGTACGCGCGCCAAAGGCCGTAAAACGACTGAGACCCTAGCACCTGTTGCTGTTCAATTTAGTTTGTTTTCCAACCAATAAGTGGACCGTGTGCTCCTTATCTGCAAAGAGTGAAACCACAATTATTATCTTTGATTTAACACGTGTTTCTGCTTGCGGCGATAGCTGGAAAGCAAAATGATCTGATTGAATACATTTTCTGCACTCGGGCTTGGATCATAGCTGGCAACTAGGTGCCCTAATCGCACCCAATCAGACAGGCATCTTGATTTATGAAAGCCAGCGATTAGATTAGCGGCTAACAAGTGACGTCCGATACAACAGTAGTTCACACAAAGTCAAGTGCACAAAACTTTATGGACCTTCAATGACTCTCCAGTCGAGCTGAAGGAAATGTGCTATAAAGCACTCGAAGTAAGTGTTCAATTACCAAAGAATGCGCTTCAGACAAAGAGTTATTGAAGTAAGTTATATGTAAATGAATTTTTCTTTAACAGTGAAGCCTTAAAAATAAAACGAAGCAAATTCATGAAATAGTCGGTTGCGTTACACTTGGCTAACTAAGCCCGCGATCCATTGATCCCAGTTGTGCTGCCAAATCGATAGAGCTTTTCGCTTCTCCCGTTCGCTTAGGGCGCTGTACATAAACGAATTCATGGCCAACTGCTTTAGTAACCGCAAATTGGCCTGGCCATTGGCGATGCCCACAAAGGCCACGTAGAAATCATCGGTCAGAGGCGCCGCATTCCAGAAATAGGGATAGTCCGATCCGATCACAATGGGATAGCCCGCGGCAATCAGATACGCCGCCGGATGCTGACTGAAGTCATTCACATACTGCATATAATGATTGGACAACGGACACATTTCGGCGGCCACCTTCAGCAGTCGCATGATTCTCAGTATCTCCGAGTGCAAAGGCAACTTGAAAGAGTTGCCCAGTCGCTTGCTGCCCAGCAGCAAAGCATCAATGATATTGGTATCGGGCGAACTGTCTTGTGTGGAATTGACACAACGCGACTCTCCGGCATGGAAATAGAAGTCGATTTCCTTGCTGATGTGTAGCAGCTGCAGAGAATCTCCAAGTGGCGGCATATTGCATTCATCGCCCAAACTGATCAGATCGAAGCCAATAAAGAAGCTGGGGAAATTTTCCTAAGGGCAAGGAGACATTGACTGAGTTAGGAATTTACGATTGGGTTGTCAACGCTGAAACTATATGAGGGATATCTGCTCTTCACTTGTGAAAGACGACATTAGGGATAGAAACACACAGAAAACTATATAGAAGATTATTAAGGCGGAAGTAGATCAGATTGTGGAAAGGAAAGCGTATGATGCGAGATGTAATCTTACAGATTTAGATAAAGGAAAATATTGTGTAAGGCTCTCAGCTATTAATATTTGAATAAGTGCTGTTTAGTCTCTCTAAAACTAGCTGCATCACTCATATATATATATATACATATATCTTTATCTCTAAAGCGCCCTCTGTAGAAAGTATCAAAAACCACATGATTCTACCTTCAAGAACCGTGCATTCGAAATATACGTATCCATTTTGCTGTCATTGTAGTCCCGCAAAGGTGCATAGATCAGTTTAATGCCAATGAAGTCATCGTGTATCGAACGGAATATATTTGTGGTGCTCACAATCGAGTTGGCCGTGTCTGCAATGGTGTAGTTCGTACCCACGAGATCGTACATCTGGGGAGGGCAGTTGGCATTTGTACTAATTAATTGTCGTAGCGAATTGGTACTCACAATGGGCAGCGAGGAGCGTAGCTCGACATAGCTAACACCATCGGCGTAGAAATCCTCGAGCATCGAGATCAGGTAAGTGGGCCAAATGGGGCGATATGTGATCAGGCCGTGAATGAGACGATGCGCACGTCTCATGTGATTGGCCAAGTGGGTGGCGCTCATGAAGCTATTGGAATTGATGGTCAGGCACTCGCGCAGCTTATTGCTGGTAATGTTCCCGTCCTGCTGCCTGAAATTGCTCATCAGCATCCAGTTGCATTTGTAATCCCCTTGCGGTTCGATCAGCGGATAGTTTTGGGAGAAGCGGAAGTCCTCAAAGGAACCATCGCTGCCCACGCATGCCCACAGGTTCGAATACTGCGTTAGCTCAATGAGACGATCCGCCCGGAACATGCCAGCATCATGCACATGCAATAGCCCTCCTTTGGGCATGGCGCGCAGCACACTGTACAGATCGGTTTCGTTCATTTTGTACTTGGATAGGAAATGCGGTCGTGGCTGATAGTCACTCCAGATGTGATGCAACTCTTCGTCCACCTGCTTAATCGCCAGCAAACGGGCATTGGCCATTTCCTCGAAATCGTTCAACTTCAGCTTGCCGCCCACGCGTCGACGGCGCTCGCGTACCACAAAGTCTTGTCTCAGCTTCTCGAAACGCTCCTCCGACGAGCAGGCATAGTATTCCACGCTCAGATAGATCGTCCACACGAGCGCCAAGATCATCGTGCTAATCAATATGACCAAGCTGATGTGCCAACAGACGGTGGCATATTTGGTGGGCTGGTCTCGATCGCCATCCGAGGTCCGATTTCGATTGCGCTCCTCATCCGTGTTGCCTGCTGTCCGGGCGGGCGCGCCTATGACACGCGTCGTGCAGTAGCGCGGCGGATATTTGGGTAAGCGCAGTAGCCACTTATTGCCTCTAGTCGCCATAACCAACTTTTCAACTACCTCAATTTTAGGAAATTTCGAATTTTGTTTGATATTCTTCCAACAACTATTATGCTAAAAACAAATCATGACTGGCTGCCCCAGCTACAGAGCCTATCCCATCGGGCGCTGCTGATTGAAAAAGCAAAGTTCAAGGCGAGTGCCTGCCTTGCCTGCCTGATCTGCTCATACTCTGGCCGTGGTTGCCACATGCCCACATTTCTTTATCATGTGGCAACTTCATTTGCGGCTCTTTTAAAAATAACCCAAAACAGACAGCGATAAAAAAGAATCGAGCTGCGATGGCCTTCGCTTCAAGTAGCAAGCGAGCGGACTTTGGGCGGGCGTGTGCCGGCCAGGGGTTGCGTTTATTTTTGTAAACAGCCCGCAGCACCCACCACCAGCAGCAGCAACAACACCACCAACAGCGGCACAGTGGTCTGTGCGTCACTCAAAATGTTCCTTATCTGAATTTATAAATAAAGTGTTTATGTGAAATGCATACTCTTAGCTGTATGTGATATGATAATATGTGAGTCAGGATCAGATATATATATATATATATATATAGCATATAGGCAAAATCAAGTGAAAACTGTTGAGTTCTTGAGTAAGTTTTTATCTATAATGTCACAGAAATCATTAGTAGTAAAACTATTTTATAAATACTTAAAACCCTTAATCAATATAGATGAAGTCGGAAATGAGTAAAAATTATATAAAATTTATATATAAATATTATTTTTATATATTTCAGCTGAAGGACATAAAGAGTTCAGTATATACAGATGGGTTTTTTTAAAGTTCTCTAAGCACTTCTTTATATTTAATGAATTTCGTATATAAATGTTTCTACAAGAATATTTAAATTTTTAATATTCCATTTTATAAAATTATACATATTTTATATTTTATAATATTTCTATATTAGATTTCATCAAGTTCTTGTCAATTTCTGAAAGGTTTCAATATTTTAAGGCATATATATATATTTATAGAGAGATGTATTGATAGGTATAAGATATATATATAGATAAATAGCTAGGTAAACAGCCAAAGGCGCTCTAATGACTTTCATTATCCACACAATACGACTCAGCCCACTGCCCGCCGCGGGCTTGCAACAAATGGTGCATGTGTGCTATTGTCGGGTTGGTATCGATGTCGCCTTTGACGCACAGCTGGAGTCGCAGCTGACTGGGACAGTGATTGCAGGCAGAGGGTGCAGTACAAACAAAGCCGCAGCAACGCAACGCAACTTCAGTTGGAAGCGCGTTTTTGTCGAGACAATAGCGAAATCGAAATGCAGCCAAGGCAGCACGGTAATCAAAGCAAACATTCAGTGAAGGCCTAAGCCGAAATTAATCAAATAGCTTCCGTCTATTATCTCTCTCTCTCTCTCTCTGTGTTTGTCTCTCTTGCTCCCCGCTAGCTATCGTTACGCTGACAACGTTGAATGACGATTGCCTGCTGCTGATCTGCGCTCAGCTCGCAATTAAGGACCAATTCGCATTGCTGCAGCTGGGCGGCCGACTGCGTCCGCTGGTGCTGCGAATTTGGCAGCGTAAATATGCCAACGAGTTCGATTGGCAGCAGGAGCCGCAATTAGAAGGCCTACGCGTCAGCGAGCAGAGCCAGCTGCTCGGACACATGGCCAGGCTGACGCGAGCGCTGCTTAATCTCAATGTGTGGCAGGACGAGCTGCCGGACTGGTTGCAATCGAAACGGAAATGTGTGCGGAAGCGGAAACAGCAAGAGAAACAGATATGTCTGCCCGATATACAAAGGCTTAGCTTCGGGGCATGCCACTCAGTTAGGCTGCTGCGGCAGCTACCTCAGCTCTGCCGCAACCTGACGCAGCTGCAGCTGAGCGCCTGTGTGGGCGTGGGACCCGCGGATATCGGTCTGCTGCTTGGGCAGCTGACGCGCTTGAGTTACTTTGAGCTGTTGCCAGGCAGCATCTGTGGCGCCACAGCGACAGCAGCCTTGGCCGACATTGAATATTGCCAAACGTTGCAAACGCTGAAAATTCCGGCGTGCGCGCTGCGTGCGGCAAGCAAGGAAATTGCACAACTGCCGCAACTGCGCCAATTGACAGGCTTCCTCTGCTGCAGCAGCGACATCGACAACGCTGACAAAGAGAAAGCGAATGCTGGCGCGCTGGCCACAGCAACCGTATCCGCCTGCCTGACGGCACTTGGCAAAGGTGGTGCCGGTGGAGCCGGTGGTGTTCGCTGTGTCGGTGGTGTTGCCTGTCAAATTGTGGCATTGCGTTTGCAATGTCAACTGGATGCCAGCCTGCCGCGTCTACTGGCTGGCCACTTGAGTGTGGTGCAGCTGCAACGGTTCGCTTGGCACTCGCAGCTGATGGTGCACTATGATGCCACGGATGGCAGCATCAAGTGGCTGCCGCAGGCGTTGCAAGTGCCGCGCGCTCTGCTCCGCTTTATTGTCGGCCAGTCGGCCAGTTTGCGTGAATTGGATTTTACGCATAATGTGCATGCCACGTCCACATTTCTAACACAGCTCGCCGAGCAAATGGGCGGCAATGTCGCCGTGTGGCACGACGGCTGCCCCAAGGCCAGGATGCGCACGAAGGAAACGGATATGGACAACAACAAAAAAGATTTGGCCTTTGTTGAGTTTGCTATTGAAACAGTTGCCTAATGAAAAGGCGAACTGTTCTTCTAACAGGGTATGCAGCGAGGTATATGCGACTAATTATTAGACTTAAGTGCGTGCTCAGTCTTTAAGTAAAGCAGTCTATAAGTAAACTAAGATTTAACTAAAATATATGTGCTAAGAGAAAAGCTTGTTTAATTTAAAGTTTTTCTTAATGCAGATTACAGGGTATAAGCCGGTTACTATCATGAGTTTTCCTGCACAGACAAGTTCAATTTGTCGCTGAAACTTGATGAAGAAATATAAAATTGTAATTTTACCTAGAGAATACCCTGGAAGTAAGACTTTACACTTCTTATGAATACAGCAAGTCTGGCTCTTGTCTTGTTCTGTCAAATCAAAATAAAATTTAACTCTGCCCCAACTGTAGTCAACTTTGACTCTCCTTAGATATTTAAAATTCAATTTTATACACAATTTTTAATTTTTTAGAAGATGGTTATTTAATATTGATTGCGTGAAGGCAAATCAAAATTTTGTGTCCAATCTTTGCTTACGACAATCCGGAACGAAGACCCTCTAAGTAGAGATCACATGTAAGTCGACGTAGTCTGAGCAGCTGTAACTACAATCAACGTTTTGTAAGACAAGAAAATACCTCGAATGGATTATTTTAGAAATACTGCGGTGCTGCCCGCAGATCTCTACTTTGCATTGAGTCGATTTCTGGACTCGCAGAAAAAACAGCACGATCAAAAAACAACCGTCTCGAGGCAAACCTATACGAAGAGCGGATCTGATAGTTGGGAGGAAGGAGGTTACGCGGATACAAGACACAAGCGCTTACATAGATATTCAGTAAATATGCGTGCGAAAAATCCTTTAGATAAGTGTGAGCAACGGGACCGTTCCACCAGTCCGACGAATGGCACCCAGAACGAACCCTCAGTACAAGTCCAGGTACCTAAGCTTGATTCTTGTCGTATTCCAAGCATTTAGTCGCTTTCTCCAACTATCTTGCTTAAAGCCCTTGCTAGTTCCTCGGGAGTTTTGGAGCTCGGTGAGTAATGTATCTACTGTACAGGGAACAAGCGATCGGCGCAGTCGTTCCCTCAGCGCGCCGGCTTCTCAAACCGGGTCCCAACGCATTTGCCAAAGATGCGTCGATAAATTTGTGAGCACCTAGATAACTTAGCTTTAGCGAAACAAATTCATTTTACCTAACTTTAACTACAGTGCACAACGGATCCAACAAGAGCCTGTAATTTTACGGGCTTACAGCCAACTGAGATCTACGTGAGCAAACTTTTCCCTAATCTATCTAATCTAAAGACCCATAAAAGAATCACAACTTTTGCAGAAACGAAAATCGAGTCATTCAAATGAAGAAGGGGGATCATGTTCAAGGGTAAGTTCTAAAGTGCTCCGATTGGTTGTGCTCGACTAGGAAATACCTTAAAATTACAATTTTGACTGACAACGGACGGAACGAAAAACGAATAGACGGACGGGCGCGGCTCAGTCTGATAAACACATCATTTACTCTTCTTTCACATAATTATTTTTTTTGGCATTCAGTGTCCCAATAGGCCAAGCAATGGTGGTTATATATTATCGAACAATGGATTGTCTTATGATTCAATGCGACCGCAAACATCAAATCCGCCGGAGGACAGAGGCTTTGACCTGAGCTATGAGAAATGGCTGCGCCAGCAAAAGCAGCAAAAGCTGCAGCAACAACAGCAGCAGCAGCAGCAGCTGCAACAGCTGCAACAGGGTCAGTCCTATAACTGGCCCAGGAACGATCAAACCTATGAAAAGTTTGTGAGTAGAGCCCCAAGCACACAAAGAAATTCGAGTGCTACTGAAAGCCCTCATACGAGCTATTATTCCCTTTGGGGCATTGTTTCTAGGAACCTACACTTAATAGCACTATGAATAGCAGCAGCAGACAGCCTTGTTCACTTTCGTCCTGTGTACATCTGCGCACACAAAATCAGCAGCAGCAGCAGCAGCCGCAGCCGCAGCCGCAGCCGCAGCAACAACAGCAACAGCCGCAACAGAAACTGCCGCAGCAACAGCAGCTGCAGCAATTGCCGCAGCAGCAGAAGCAACAACATACATGCTGCCAGCATGCTGATCCGAATCAAAGTCAAGCATATGCCCCAGGTCTAATTGCACGAAGGGTAAGTTAAAGTCGACTTAGTCCTTGTTAGCAACTCCTAAAGGCAATGCAATTCAACAGAATCAGCGTGACGTAGCCGAAGCTTATGATACTACGGAATACATTCAATTGCCTCAGGCGCAGCCACAGAGGTCGAATTTTGTGAGAACTTCCGTCCAGCAACCTACTAATGTAAGTAGAATAGGAGTTAGGGAAACGCTGATAAATATCCGACTAGTAAATACCCTTGCCTGAAGTGTGGCTCACTTCATTTTGCCAAAATTAGATACAGATAGATAGAGATATATAGATAGGTTGGCACAGAAATGAAGCAGTATTGAATACGACTCTTCGAATCGGACTCATTAATTTATCTAACATAAACACAGGTGACATTTTACGATGGGAATTCGTTGTATTCACCTACCAATCGCAGTCAGTCATGTGGTCCAATTCGTTCTGATAGTTGGCCGAGCACAAGTCGAGGTGCGTTTTCGCCCCTCCAGAATTCGACTCCAAAACACATTACTAGCACTACTCAGGCGGGGCCCAGTTGCAAATCCGAGCAATGCAATTCACGACAAGTACCCTTTATCGATGATACAACACGTGAGTTAGAGATTGTGATCCGGTGACAGATATGCTCCATTGGTAATAATCTATCTGCAGCTGAGCAACGATATATACAGCGCACAAATGCGCTATTTTTCAACGCTTTGGTCATGGATCAGACCTGTCCGGGTATTATACAGAATTCGCTTAATGGTCGGGAAGACTTCAATGAATATGCTTTCGATATTGCGTTTGCGGGCAAGATACCGGATGAGCCATATCCCATCGATCCCATCACCATGATTGAGGCTATTCAAATAAGAATCGACCACGAGCGCGAGGAGATACGGAAAAAGTGTCCGTTCTATGACACTTACCGTAGACGCCGAAGCGACTTGGATACTGTATCAGAAACTAGCAATGATGAGGGCAAAAAACCAAAACAAAAATATTATTCTAGCCAAAAAAGCCAAAGGGGGGCATCTTCGGACAAATCAAAACACGTTTCGTCCTCTCAGAAGGGCTTGCCATTCAGCGCGGACTACGATAACATCGATCGACATTTCTGTTCAAAGAACATATCTGAAGTCAATAATGGAGTGCTGGCCTTCCTGAAAGCCGAGCAATCCTATGGTTCCACGCCGCACGCACATGTATGTATTCCATACAATTACAGATATGATCTATATACAAATGTATATGTGTGCATTTCCCTAAGGACTATTCCAATTTTTCGGCCGATATCAATTCACATGAGTCGAACTTCTTTGGCCTGCCCATCAAGATGAAGATCTACAATGGAACGACTTGGCCTACCGATTAACTGATTGTCCCTTTAAGAAATCCATCCTATAGAATTTAAAATTGTACAGCATTTGAATATTGGGCTTAAATGTAATGTATATTAACTATTCAAAAAAAAGCAAACCCACTATTTTCAATTATAGAAAATGCTTAGCTTGAGTAAGTTTTCGCGACATTTATTTAAAGCAATTATTCAAGTCGCTTATCAGGCGTAACAACTAAATTCTTTGTGGTGCAATAAATCTTAGTGATCTATACATATATAAATCGGTATAAATATATATATGTTATATATATGTAGGTAATATATATACTTTCAATTAGGTTATATCCTCTTTTCCAGTCCAATTCTCAACTATACCGAGACATATAGTATATTCTATAATGACATATAACATTTTTATATTACTATTTCGACTAGTCATTAAATATTCATCCCAAATTACTTTTTTTCATTTTAGTACTGCTCTCTTTCTCTCTCTCTCTTCGCCCATTAAAAAATTTGTTGTCCATTAATTTTTTATATTCCCTCCAAAAGTAATTTTTCCCATGATAGAAATCATCGTTTGCAATTAAGTAGCAACAAATTGCGCATATGCAAGATATGGCAAATGTGATATACGAAAATATATTTATAATATATGCACATCAATAATTAATCATATGAGGGAGGCTATATATATTTGCTTCTTACCACATTTAACAATATTTGCAAAAATTTGCAATAATTGATATAAAGGCCTTGGGGTTGCCCTATAAGCAAGGCAATATAATTCTAAAGTTCTAACCAAGTTCAAATGAGGTTTTCAATCAATAATAATTCGAGAGGTATTAAGTTACTATACCATAATCTATCACCCTCTGACTCTCTTTCTCCCTAAGTGTTATTATCGAATAACGTGTGATAAGAATATACAAAAAATAACAAAGAGAAAACTCAAGAAAAGGGAGAGAAAGCACGGTAAACGCAAGGCCCATGTCAAAGACACTGCCAGAGGCGAGATATCAGCAGTCTGAGCAACATTGAAATTGAATAAGATAAATTTGAGTTCTTATACATATAAGAATGACATGTGCATATATTATGTCGGGACGTATAAGAGCATAGAGCTGAACATGCTATGACAAAGACAATGCAAGAATTAGAAATATCAGCTGAGTGACCAATACAATTGAATAAGACAAATCTAAGTTCTTATACATATAAGATAGACATGTGCTTTAGTGCGTATATATTATGTTGGGACGTATAAGAGCATAGAACTAGTTATTTGAATGTCTTATACACTTGATACGGCTCTCTCACACTCGCACTCACTCACCCACCCTCTTTCACAGCCGCACTCTGGGCTAATGAACTCTGCATAGCATGTCGCGCGCGTTTCGTGGCTGACAACTACTCCAAATTGAACGCAAAGCCGAAAACAAATATAAATATAAATACAAATCAGCTGGTCAGCCCAGTCCAGCTGCACTGTCCCACTGTGCAAAAACCTTAATACCGTAATACCCGCTGTCTCCCTTTATCGCTCCTAGATCTGGGCACCGGCTGCCAAATTGGCGTTTAATTTGAATACGCAGTTATGTTTTGTTTCTTTTTGTTGTTGTGAAATTAAAGTCGTTAAATATGCGGGTTTTATTAAAAGCTGACTAGACACAAATATATCGTGTTTATATTAAACAACAGAGTTTTTATTTATGTTGAATATTTCTGTGTTAAAAATTAATTTGAATTAATGTATTTATGCTTGGCAGAGGAAAAAACTTGTTTTATGTTGTTGATTATTTAATAATCCAGCTAATGCCGCAAAGTTTGATAAGCCTCTTAAATGCACAAATTAAATTTATTTTTTTTTTATATTCACTTTTTAATTCAACCACTGAAAGTGGAATTTCGATGCGAAGTTCTCGGCCACGATCTGCACGCCAAGTACGCGTCCCAAAGACTGATCATTCGGGGCCGACATGTTTCACGAACGAGCGGTCCAACCAAAAAGCCGCAGCCGATTCCATTTCTGATTCTGATTCCGATTCTGATTTCGATTCCATGCACCCAACAAACGCTGTCAGGCGGTGGAAGAGGGGAACACGCGGCATGGAACTGTAAACAATATACACAATTGTGTTTTTATCAAATATGATATAACGAAAGTACTTCAAACTCTTAATGCGGTCTAATGTGCACTCTATGTAAGCAAGGCACGTTGCGAGAGAATTTCGTAGAAGAGAAGCGGATTATGAGAGAGGAAACGATAGAGAGGAAGAGAGCGAGAGCGCGCTTCAATACATGTTTAATCACTTTCCCTTTTCGTTGCGTTTTCAATGTTAGCTCTTTAAAGTGACCGATGCCCAATTTGCTTGCACGCTTATACCAACTTATCAAATACGCAAATAACAAAAACCAATAACAATATAGCTCGTTTTTTTGTCTAGATTTATTTCTATTATTTTCTTTGATTTCCAGGAGATTGATAATAAATAATAAAAAATAATCATGCACTTGAAATGGGGATTTTGTTTTTTTTTTGTTTTTTATTTCTTTTGCAAAATTGTTTAGATATTTTTGCGTTGATGTGGTGCCAGAAATAGCGCTCAATACGGTAATTATGGCATAAACACAAAAATATTTAATGAAAGTATCTGAAATATATGAAAGTGCGTCAATACAAAATGCCACACACGAAGCGTTGAAACATGTGTTTAGATTCAATGCTATTCAAAATTTCTATTCTATTTGCATTTCTATTTCGATTCTATTTTTTAAATATTTTTATTGATTTCTGCATGTGTTCTTTGAGCAATTTAAATTGTTCTCCTTTGAATACAATTATTTTGTGTACTTTCGTATCTAAGCTGGCTCATGATAAATGCATTGGCTGCAAGCTAAAATTGCTCAAAGACAATGCAAACATTTTTAATATTCAGTTGCACAGACAGCAAAACGTTTCGTGTGCAAAAACAAAGTCATAAATAAATTTTACAGCAGGCATTGCATGCAAATTTACTCTCTTCTCTCTCCCTCTTTCCCACAGTCGCTCACGCTCTCACTCTCTCTTATATACCCTGTACCCTATGCCCTGTAAGCAATACCCAAACTAATATAAGAGTTGTGTGTGTGCCAGGATTAGGCAGACTTAAATGAATTTATGGCATGTGCTAATCTCCAAAGGGAGTTTCCACATGCATGAGAAAAGCCTGGAACGCAAATCGAGCCAAAGACGAACTACGAATTACGTATGTAAGTAAGCCCAGAAGGAGATTATAGAGAGAGCGAGAGAGAGGGAGTCCCACGTAGATATAAAAGATAACGAGTTTTCTCATATATGAGTATGCTCTTATATTTCTTGCGCCTAATCCTTTTGACTTTTCCTTAAATGATTAATAAAAATAAACTATAAACATAGAATGAAAATAATGTACATCTTTACTTAAAAATAAGTCAGAAAAGTAATTTAAACATAATTAGATGGTCTTAATAATGTGTTGATCAAAGATTATCTCTCTAATGATATCTAATTGTTGTAAAACTTTCGAATTCCTTAGAAGTTTTTAAATATAAATATTACCATTAAATAATATTAATTGAAATGAAAAATAGTATTATAACGGCAAATTAAATACAAAATGATGATTAAGTACAGAATGATTAAGAATTTATTGACTAAAGATCTATATTTATTGCCTACAAATGTGGAGTCATAAATTGTTTTATATCTTACGCGCTCAGTACCAGACACCACTTATCGCTAAAGGGTGTTCACGTGAAAGACTACTCAAGTCGGAAGTTGCATGTGAAGTTGGAATAGTCTGATGAATGATATTCAATGGAATTGTGATTTGACTAATTTCCTTTATTTATTTACCATTAATTCTAATCTCTATCTTGTGGAGCGCACGCTGGGGTATTTTTGTGCTCTTTATTTACAAATAAAATATTTTCGCAGTTCTCGCCTGCATTTCATTTGCAAATATTTCAGCAAACATTTTGTTTATGTTTTTCCACATGTTGTTCGCAGTTTATGGAGCAAATAAATCTGCAAACACATTCAGATAGATTCCGCCTGCAACCACCTGAATAATGATCTAATATTTGATTGGCAGCTGCACCTGAGTGCTATAGCTGAAAAATACTTTTCGAAGCCATGCAAACACCATTATTGTTATCATAATAGCTAGGAAAATCATTATCATTATCATTATCATTATCATTATCATTATCATTATCATTATCATTATCATTATCATTATCATTATCATTATCATTATCATTATCATTATCATTATCATTATCATTATCATTATCATTATCATTATCATTATCATTATCATTATCATTATCATTATCATTATCATTATCATTATCATTATCATTATCATTATCATTATCATTATCATTATCATTATCATTATCATTATCATTATCATTATCATTATCATTATCATTATCATTATCATTATCATTATCATTATCATTATCATTATCATTATCATTATCATTATCATTATCATTATCATTATCATTATCATTATCATTATCATTATCATTATCATTATCATTATCATTATCATTATCATTATCATTATCATTATCATTATCATTATCATTATCATTATCATTATCATTATCATTATCATTATCATTATCATTATCATTATCATTATCATTATCATTATCATTATCATTATCATTATCATTATCATTATCATCTTGAAGGAAGTTCATTTAAGCCTCGCAATGATTAATGACTAAATCGATGATAAATCAATTAATTTACCAACGGAAATAACCAACTACAAAATAAAATTGAACTTGCCCAAATGTTGACGTAACTAATTTTAAGCGTTCAGCTACAAGGCTCGAGGATTGCAAATACCAAAATTGTTAGCAATACAATTAGTGCACGCAGCGTGAAGCTATTGGCCGGGTGGAAGGGGCTTAGAGGGGTGTGCGGCGTGACAGGCTGTGTTCCATTGTTCTGATGAAAAGCAGCAAAATTTCCAATTTGTAAATTTTGTGGCAATGACCACTTCCTCTGACCCCCAACAGGCGCTCCAAACGATTTAGGCTTCTTTTCTGTGTGTGCATTAGCTGGGTTGAGTGGACGGCGTTAGAGGAGGGGCGGTTGGTATTAGGTGCCACGCCCACGCTGTGTGCAGTGTCAGGAACAGGGTGAACGCAAGTTGATTATGCGTTGTTTTGCCACTTAATGTAATGAAATATGCATAATGCCATTAGGCATTAGGCATTAGGCAGCGACAGGCAGCCAGCGGGCGCGGCTAAAATGCCATAGCAACATGATTACAATACGCATACGCCATGTGTGCACGCATTGTGCACGACAACAGCAGCAGCAGCTAGTCGGAGCTTCGCTTGCCTTGCAGCTTAGGACTGCACGCTTTAAAGTTTTATTATTGAATAAATATATATACTAGTTGGGCGAAAGTTTTGTGTGTATCTCATTTCAGTTTTGATTTACTTTGCTTTGGTCTTGCATCAAAAAGCGAAGCAAGGCAAAGCAGCTCATCGATATGAAAAGTTTTTTGGCTGTAATTGGGTTGGTCTGTGCCTTTTGCAACTTGTATTCTATAATTTGCTAAGAGATTGCTAGACTTAAACTTGAGAGCCAAAAAGTTTCCATAAACAAGTAGAGTTTTGGTTGAAACTATTTAAGGACACTTCAATGATAACGATAATGACAATGATAATGGTAATGGTAATGGTAATGATAATGAGAATCACAATGACAATCGAGTGAGAAGGAGAGGCATTAGGCATTAGGCATTAGGCATTAGGCATTAGGCATTAGGCATTAGGCATTAGGCATTAGGCATTAGGCATTAGGCATTAGGCATTAGGCATTAGGCATTAGGCATTAGGCATTAGGCATTAGGCATTAGGCATTAGGCATTAGGCATTAGGCATTAGGCATTAGGCATTAGGCATTAGGCATTAGGCATTAGGCATTAGGCATTAGGCATTAGGCATTAGGCATTAGGCATTAGGCATTAGGCATTAGGCATTAGGCATTAGGCATTAGGCATTAGGCATTAGGCATTAGGCATTAGGCATTAGGCATTAGGCATTAGGCATTAGGCATTAGGCATTAGGCATTAGGCATTAGGCATTAGGCATTAGGCATTAGGCATTAGGCATTAGGCATTAGGCATTAGGCATTAGGCATTAGGCATTAGGCATTAGGCATTAGGCATTAGGCATTAGGCATTAGGCATTAGGCATTAGGCATTAGGCATTAGGCATTAGGCATTAGGCATTAGGCATTAGGCATTAGGCATTAGGCATTAGGCATTAGGCATTAGGCATTAGGCATTAGGCATTAGGCATTAGGCATTAGGCATTAGGCATTAGGCATTAGGCATTAGGCATTAGGCATTAGGCATTAGGCATTAGGCATTAGGCATTAGGCATTAGGCATTAGGCATTAGGCATTAGGCATTAGGCATTAGGCATTAGGCATTAGGCATTAGGCATTAGGCATTAGGCATTAGGCATTAGGCATTAGGCATTAGGCATTAGGCATTAGGCATTAGGCATTAGGCATTAGGCATTAGGCATTATTCTCATTGCTGGAGCATCTTCTAAACATAATTTAAAATTTAAAATTGTGGGCGTGAGCGGGCGTGTTGCCTCAGTTCATAAAATTGAACACATTAAGCAGTTAAATAAATAGATGCATGTTTTCGTGCCTAATGAGCTGCATGCGACAAATTGAAGGTACACAGACAGACAGCCCGATAGATATTTGCGAAAGCCAATTAGCATGCAAAACAAGTTGCAGCTATAAATGCACAACTAACACACACTCTGCATTTATGTGAAAATGCATAAATAGTAGCTGTGTGTGGCGGGGAGCACAACAAGTGCAGCAGCACAGAACAGACGCAGCGCTCGCGGCAGCTGTGCCACCAAAATGTATGCAACATTATGCGGCATGTG